ATATTTACAGGGTCCTATAAAACACAGAAAGGTATACAGAAACAGAAATATTAATGAGACTGGGATAGCAAGGAAGACTTTATGGAAGAAGTGACACTTGATAGAGTAATCATAAATAACAGATAGCCTCTAGGATGGATAGCAAGCAAGAGAAAGCCAAATGAAGCTGATAAATGGAGAAATTCAAGAGTCAAAGTAGTCCCCTGTCAAAAAACCTACAATCACTCCCTAATGAGTACAAAGGGCAGAGATAACATTAGACTACTTGGATTCATTTTTCAGCTCTTTTATTATTTACTTATGTGACCTACACACACTTAGGCATGTGATCTTATCTAATTTCCCTGTTTCACTTTACTTGTACTGTGTGTAAAATGGAGATCATATCTCATGGGATTGTTGTGAGAAGTAAATGCATTCTTACTCTGCTCCATAGTTTGTATTAATGCCTTCCCATTTTTTCACCTTAAACTGTCTCCTTTCCTTCTAAAGGTGTTTGTCTACATATCTAAATCCTAGTTATCTTTCAAATGCCATACACACCTATCCCTTTCCTCCTCATGATAAAATCCTCTCCCAGATTCTATAGTCCAAACTAACATCAACCACAGGAGATACAAATACAGTAAAGCCACTGTATCAGATATAAATTGTATTAGATAATAACTTAACATTTATTATATGATCCCGTGAGACTTTCCAACCACTTCATAAATTCCTGTCAGTAAGGATCTCTTGTTACATTTTCTGGTGGTTCATATTGTTGAGCATGAGAGTTAGTTATATAAAAATAGTATATACCTTGACTCAATACTCAGCCAAACCTTAAGCATAAGCATTTTTTTTTTTAAAGATTTATTTATTTATGCATACAGAACTGGGGTACAGGCCAGAGATGCGGAGGGTGAGAGGATTCACCAGAGACAGAGTGGGGAACAGAACAGGCAGATCAACGAAGTACACTGCTGAGGGGAGCAGCGGGCGGGTCAGGAGAGGTCTGCCACACCATGTGGTCACCTCCGGGGCAGGCGGGAGTCGAAATCATGCGGAAGCGGCTTTAGATTCTCAGTGCTGTGCTTTAACCCGCTGCGCCACCAGGGAGGGCCAGCATAAGCATTTTTAAGAAACTTACTGCAAGCAAAATATAATGAAAGTGTCACCCTGTAACTAAAAGAAACCAACAGCTCTGGCCCTCTCTGGTGGCGCAGCGGGTTAAAGCACAACACTGAGAATCTAAAGCCGCTTCCGCATGAGTTTGATTCCCGCCTGCCCCGGAGGTGACCACATGGCGTGGCAGACCTCTCCTGACCCGCCCGCTGCTCCCCTCAGCAGTGTATTTCATCGATCTGCCTGTTCTGTTCCCCGCTCTGTCTCTGGTGAAGCCTCTCACCGCCCCTGAGCCTCTGGCCTGTACCCCAGTTCTGTATGCACAAATAAATAAAATCTTAAAAAAAAAAAAAAAAAAAAAAGAAACCAACAGCTCTAAAAACTTTGCCATTTTGAATAAGGTCTGATGAAAATTTTAATTTCTCTGACTTAAAAAAAATTATGCAGCCCTCCCTGGTGGCGCAGTGGGTTAAAGCACAGCACTAAGAAGCTAAAGCCACTTCAGCATGAGTTCCATCCCTGCCTCGGAGATGATTCACATGGCATGGCAGATCTCTCCCTCAGCAGTGTACTTTGTCAATCTGCCTGTTCCTCACTCTGCTCCCCACTCTCTCTGGTGAATCCTCTCACTACCCTTGCACCTCTGGCCTGTTCCCCAGTTCTGTATGCATAAATAAATAAATATTATTTTAAAATTATGCATGTATTCTCATGACCTGCAATAGTAGCAGGGAAGATGACCAAAGACAGAAATAACTTGGTTATTTAAACAAATAAGCTGGTTTGATTTAAAAAACAGATTCTGAAAAATATGATTAATTAGATAACATGATGACAGTTTACAGGAATTCCAAATTGTGCAAAATTGGGCTTATTTTTTTCTTTTCTTTGCTTATATTTCTTTTAAAACATCATGTGTATTATTTAAAATAGATGCATGTATGAAAATTTTCAAATTAAATACTTTGAACCTAGATTATGCTCTATCCTCATAGATCTCCAAATATGTAGTATATATATATTATATATTTATATATATTTTTTTTTTTTTTTAAAGAGGAACTCTTTTTTTTTTCTGAAGATTTATTTATACATACAGGACCAAGGTACAGGTCAGAGGTGCAAAGGTGGTGAGAGGAGTCACCAGAGACAGAGTGGGCTGCAGAACAGGGAGATCAACAAGTACAGTGCTGAATGGCAGGGGGCAGGTCAGGAGAGGTCGGTGGTATCATGTGGGTCACCTCCGGAGCCAGGGATTGAACTCTCACTGAAGCAGCTGTTGCTGGCTTGCAGTGCTCTGCCGTAACCTGCTGTGCCACCAGGGAGGGCCCATAAGTTTATACTTTAACATAAAAACCATTATTTCATGTCTTTAAAAGTCATATAAAAATTATCATGCCCAGTCTGAATTAGAAACCACAGGAGAAAGAACATTATTAATGTAACAGGATATGAAATATTGTACAAAAATAAAGTAATAAAGATAAATTGTACAAAAATAAAGTAATAAAGATAAATAATTAGTAAAAATTGCCATTATCAGAAGAAGCACTAATAACTGATACCTTGTTTTCAATAACTGACGTTATCCAGGTGTCACACTTGTAAGTATGTACAATTATATTTTCATAGCCATCCATTACTTTGGCATCACCTTTGTTAAGGACAGATTTACAAATGGCCTTCTCAAGTTGCCCACTGCATGCCTCCATATGGACAGCTCTGATTCTTGGCTTGCATTTGTCTGCATAGATGTCAATGACAAATGGACATGCCTAGTAGGAAAGAGAAAAGCAAATCTTGTTATAGCCATTTGATAGAATTTCAGATAATTATTTTATTATGACTGTTTATCATATGATTTAAGAAGACAATAAAAAGTTTAAGTGCTTTAATTCAAACAGTTACAGGAAATTTTTAAAAAGCCTTAATGTGACCAAACTGCATCAAAGCTAACATTTTGTGTTATAACTGGATTAAATGCTACAAGTAAAACCATCAATAATTTATCACAAGAGCTTACTATAAAAGCCTATACAAAGTAAACTTAAGGAGACCTCGGGACTTGTATTGGCTAACCCTGGGAAATCTCAAGACGGGATTCTGGAGTGCCCTCCAGTCCCTGCTCAAAAAACTTCTAGTTATAACTGTCTCGGAGTCTGTTACCTGAGTCTGAAAATACTTTGGTACAGTCACTGTCCCATATGAGGACTATACCAAACATGAGGTGAAATCATGACAAGCAAACCAACTGCAAATCAGATCTCCAAAATTTAAACTTCTTCGAAGAGAATGATCGTGATCTGTATTTTAACAGGATAAAAATCAAAAGAGGGGGTCCTCTCTGACGGCGCAGTGGGTTAAAGCCCAGCACTAAAGAAGCTAAAGCCACTTCAGCATGAGTTTGATCCCCACCCCAGAGGTGACGTCACCCTCATGGCGCGGCAGACCTCTCCTGACTGGCCCGCTGCTCCCTCAGCAGTGTACTTCATCCATCTGCCAGTTCTGCTCCCCACTCTGTCTCTGGTGAATCCTCCCACTGCCCCTGCACTCTGGCCTGTACCCCTGTTTTGTATACATAAATGAAATAAATCTTTAAAAAAAATCAAAAGAGGAGGCTAGAAATAAATGTTTCCACAAACCAATGAAAAACTGATTAGTCTGATTCAAAGTAATCTGTAGTCATCAGAATTGATTTTCAACCTGTTCAATAGATCTGCAACAACTCACGTCAATGAACATGTTTTTGAAGGCCAGCCACTCACTGTCAGCTCTCCTCTTTTGAAAATCAGACATCATGTACAGACTAATGTCAATAAACATAGCTGCTGAGTGCAACCAGTCTCAATCTGAGTTAAGAAGCTTCCCTGAAACTTACATAAATGAGATGAACATCCTGCTCTGTGTGGTGAGATTGTTCCTGACCAGCACAACTCTCCCTTATAGTATGCAAGCAATTCAGTTTTAGCTTTCTATTTGAGTTATTGAGGGATGATCTCATCACCCTTTGATATTTTTACTGGATATATATTTTTTTACCTTTTGAATTTTCATTAATGTGCATATAGAACCTTTCAATAAATGGAATTTAACTTTAAAAGTTTTATCTCAGAAATGCTTCTTACTATGGTTTCAAAAGTCAATTGACATCAGTAAATGTATTAAGTTGCTCCAAAATAATTTCTCTTCTAGGAGAAGTATATATAGTAGAATATTATCCACATACAGGTACTGATTTTATACCACAGGTTAAAGTAGGATATAAAAAGTTACTGTTAACTACTTATCTATTACTTCTTTAAATGGGGGAAAATTATAGATAACTTGTATGAAAACAGGTTTATAAATTTTAAATGATGTCAGAACTAGGAATTAAGCTAAAGTCTCAACTATACCTGAAATTTAAAATTTTCTATTGCTAGTATTACCCTCCTGTGTTTATTACTTTAAAGGATAGATACTATTGCTAACTTCAAGAATATAAACAAAAGTATGGCTATCTAATGTGTGGTCTGAAACTCTTGAATTTATTTTAAACCTGATTTAATGATACAGAATTTAAGATACAAAGCTTAATTTTTAAATTCTTCTTCTGATTTATTGCAAGTCTTATGCAAGTTTGACACCTGTCATGTTACCAAATAATAATAATGATAGCTAGAATATAAAAAGTATTTTATAAGAGCTAAGGACTGTTAAGCATTTTATAAGTATCTTTTGTAAAAAGATCAGACTTCTACTTCTCATCCAGACATGTTTCCTTTATTCTAAAAGAACTTTTCTTCTAGTAGGACATAGTGTATCCCTACAGAAAGGAGACTTCAGCATCTCATATAGTCACCACTAATTAAGAAATATAATTTTTTAAATTACCATTTTCCTCTCTGGATCTTAAGTTCAAACTCCTTTATTCCTGAACTATTTAAATTTTTGGCAATAATGAAATTTCAGATAAGAATGGGAATTTTCATAAATTAGCATAATTCTGCTAATGCACACAGGATTCATTCATACACTTAAGTTCAAAGATTTGAGCGCCAAATTCAAAGCTTATGTGAGCTGAAAATGTTTATGGGGTAAACTACCATGGATATTAAACCCATTGCAAAAACATTGTGAGTTCTTTACCTCTGTCAATTCCAGAGCTTTATTGTAGCCCATTGAGTGCAGGGTTACCCAAAGATCACGAGGATCTCCTTCTCGATCATTGGCTTCCATGAGATTCAGATCCATAAAGCCTTGTCTTGTTAGTTCATTTTTCTTTGTATCAAAATTTTCTGTTAAAACAACCAAAAAATTTTCTTTTTTTATAAGTCAATAATTTACAAATTCACAAACTTAATATCTGTTCTATATATTATACAAAAATATTCTATATAGTTGTTTAGTCTGTTCTATATATTATTTTAAAGAAGTCAGTCCCTTTTAATCTGTGAGTAGTATAAAAATAGAATAAGAATGGCTTAAAACATGCCTGTGAGATAGCATTCTGATTTTCCACAACTCAGCAAAAGGACCATCACAGTGTATCATTTAGTTTTCAACAAAATCCAAGCTTAAAAATAATATAAGGGCCCTCCCTGGTATCGCAGCGGGTTAAAGCATAGCATTAAGAAGTTAAAGCCACTTCAGCTTAAGTTTGAGCTGCGCCTGGGAGGTGACCCACATGGCGCAGCAGACCTCTCCTGACCTGCCCACTGTTCCCCTCAGCAGTGTACTTCATTGATCTGCCTGTTCTTTTAAAAAATGCAAATACATTCCAACATTAGAGAAAATTCTAATTTCACAGGAACATTCCAACCTACCTGTTTATTTAGAGTATATACTGATATATACATACATATACATATATTTCAAAACATAAAGTGTGTCTCAAATGCTTGTCATTTAATCCCAGAAGACCTCGATAAATTTGGTATAATAACATCCCTGGTATTTCAAAAAGGGAGATGTAGCAGGTGCCAGATTTGTTATATGCCTCATTACTCTAATTTTAACCAAATTGTTCTATGTTTCTTAAAAAACTTAGGAAAAAGGGAAAAATTTTGGAGTCCCTGAATGTGCCAGACAAATCTGTGCCCATTTTTTTGTTGATCTATTCGTGTGTTCACCATTATGCTTTCAAACTCACTAATTTCTCCACTACTGTTCAAACATCTTCATTGTTTAAAAATTTGATTAGAAAATTTTTATTGAGGTTAACACTGGTTTACAACATTGTTTGTTATTTAGAGGTATAGGATCTCCCCCTTTAGGGTATTGTTGCCATGGCACAGCCACCACCAAAATATCCATAGTCCCCCAGCAAAGTCCAATGTGCTTCTTCTCCACTGTTTTCTCCTCTCCCCATCCAGCTCTGGAAGCCTCGATTCTATAGTCAGATTTCTAGGATTTGTTATTTCTCTGGCTTTATTTGATCCTTCATTTTGTTTCTTTATATTCCACATAAAGTAACATATTCAGTGTTTGTCTTCTTCTTCTGACTTATTTTGCTTAGTTTAATCCCCATGTAAATTCATCCATATTGTTACAAATGGCAAGTTTATCTTTTTATAGCTGAGTAGTATTCCATTTTATATATATTCCACATCTTGATTCACTCTTCTGTTTTGGGGCACTTAGGTTGTTTACATAGGATAATTACTGTAAATTGTGCTGTGAGATGAATAGTGTTTTTGTATTCTTTCAGTAGATATCTAGAAGTGGAATTGGTGGGTCATATGGTAGATCTATTTTTAGTATTTCATTACTTAGAATAGTTGGATCAGTCTATATTCCCACCAACAGCATAGAAGGGTTCCTTCTTCTCTATATCTTCACCAACACTATTTCTTATCTTTTGGATATGGGCCATTTTCTTGAGTGGGAGGTGGTATCTTATTGTGGTTTTGGCTTGGATTTATCTCTTGACAACTGATACGAGCATTCTCTCATATGCCTATTGGCAATCTGCATGTCTTCTTTGGAAAAATACCTATTTAACTCCTCAACCCACCCTTTTTTTTTTTAATTTGAGTTAGTTTTCTTGTTGGCCACGACATAGCTTTAGAGATGCCTTTGTGGATTCATCTCCAATGGTAAGGAAAACAAACGAGAATATAAGCAATTGGAACTACATCAAACTAAAAAGCTTCTGCACAGTCAAAGAATTCTTATCATGTATAATCAGCTTCTTGAAACCCTCTTAATTTTTTATAGGCTAGTAAAACCCCAACCCATTAACTCCTTGCTATCCTGTGATATCAAGAGCTAGGAGGAAGAATTTTACTTCTTAAACTCCAAAGGTCATAGGCTAAAATTGAAATAGCCTATGTAAGTAATACGTTCTTTTAACATGAATATTATACCAACTACTACTTTAAAAAAACAAATGTTTTATATTTCTATATCTACAAATAATGCTAGCCTAGTCTTAAACGACCCTAGTTGCCTATAATACTCCACAGAGAAGGTGACTTTTTACTTTTTCTTCTTCTGCTTTTCCAACTTTATTTGGATAATCAAATCCAGGTCCCAGTGCTCCACTCCCTCCCTTTCCCCAAACCTAACTTAAATATAACTTCAATAACTTAGAAACAGAGTTGTGAGTAGGGCTGAATCAGGTGGGGATGGAAAAGAGGAGATCCCGCTATAGCTACCACAGTACCTGCTTCTGGTTTCTTGTCTTTTTGTTGGCGACCATCTTCTCATTCTCTCTGGACAGTGTGTCTCTTGACCATGGAGTCCTTGGTTCCTCCCAGACTGTGAGGAGCCAGGGAGTCAGTAGAGGAGGTCATAGATACAGCAGCCAGGGCCCAATCAGCCTCTAAGAAGGAGTTCTATGGTAGCGACATACTCCTCTGGTTTTCTAAGAGCAGGGGCAGACCTCAGTGAGGGCAGTCTCAGATTTAGTGTGGATCAGCAAGCATCTGGTGGTCAGTACATATATCAGATGTGCAGCTCAGCTTTCCAGTCCATCTTGAATATGTTGATGCAGATCTCACCCCTGGCACCCATATTTGGATGGAAGATCCTAGTAAGATAGTAGTTCTTGGGTGGGTAGGCAGGAAAACCCACAGAAGGAGTTACATGTGGAACAGGTGCCTCCAACCTATGGAGTCTCCTCAGGGCCCTCAATGGTGACTTGTAGTTTGGTGAGGCTGTCCTCACTGGGAAAGACCATGCTGCCATTACTGGGTTAGCACCATCATCTCCTTGTACATTAACGGATTATATGAGGGACAGATTCTGCCCATTGAAGTTCAGGACAGATGCTAGCCAAGAGTGGGTCTTACTCTTCCAACTCCTCCTTGTCCTATATTCCTACTTTCCCCTCCATGTCCTACCACACTGAGACATTTTACTTCTTCAGAATGGAAGGCTATGAGGTAATTTTTTACATATACATTAGGAAAAGTCCTTACCTCTACAGATAGTCCAAGCATCTTCATCACATTTTTCACCACTTGTTCGCAATTCAAAAAAATTATATTCTTCAAGGCTAAGAAGACCATTTCCATCTAAATCAATTACTTCAAATATATCTGATAAAGTTGACCTAAAATTATAAAAATAGTAATTTTTTCTAGTCTCTAAGGCAACTAGTATGAAGATTTCTATAAGACTAACATTCAAAAGTAAAGCAAGGCATCAAAGTATTCTATATAGTTACTGTGTCTACTACATGACATACATCTCAATAATATCTTTAAAGACTCATTCCCCTAAGCAAAGGAAGTGAAGGAAAAGATAAAACACCTGGGATTACATCAAACTAAACAGCTTCTGTACAGCAAAAGAGACATTAGCCAAAACAAAGAGACACTCTACTGATTGGGAGAAAATTGTTGTACTCCACATTCCAACTGATAAGGGACTAATCCCAAAGATCTACAAAGACTCACAAAAACAAAGTAAACAATCCAGTCAAAAACTGGGCACAAGAGTTAAAAAGACATTTCTCCAAAGAGGAAATGTAAATGACCAAAAGGTATATGAAAAATGTTCAATATCCCTTATAATCAGAGAAATGCAAATCAAAACCACAATGAGATAACACCTTATACCAGTAAGAATGGCACACATAAAAAAAATTATGGTGAGGATGTGGAGAAAAATGAACTCTTCCTGCACTGCTGGTGGGAATGCAAACTGTCCAACCACTATGAAAAGCTGTGTAGAGGTTCCTCAAACTACTAAAAATAGAGCTACCGTATGACACAGCAATGTGAATCCTAGCAACCCACCCAAAGGGCACAAAAACATTAATTCAAAAGGATACCTGCACCCCTATGTTTACCGCAGCACTATTTATAATAGGTAAAATATGAAAACAACCCAAATGCCCAAAAATAGATGACTGGATCAAGAAGATACAGTATATATATACAATCGAATACTATTCAGCAATCAAAAAAGGTAAACTCATGCCATTCACAGCAAAATAAGTGAAGCTAGAAGGGATTATACTCAGTGAAATAAATCAGAAGGTAAAAGAAAAATATTGGATGGCTTCAATTATAGGAAGAATACAGAGGAACTGATGAAGAGATTGGGGAGAAAATAATAACAAAAAAATTAACAGCCAACTATAAATCAGAGACATTCTTCAGGGGAGGAGGAGGGAGAGGGATCAGAACAGGGGAGGGAAGAGCACAGGGTACTATGGTGACAGTGCACAGGTGAACTGGTACACCTGAGAGGAGAGGCAAACATTGTATAAAAATGAACGATGATGTCAAATATATATAAACAAAAAATTACATTAAAAAATAAAGTTAATGTGCTCAAATACACTTTTATTCAGTCTAATATTATATGATATGAATATCTCTGAAGCAATCGCAGAATCTCAACACATAGTAGGAACTCAATGAATAGCAGTTTCCTTCTTTTAGCCTTTTTCCAATGTACTTTATTCTTCTCTACCTGCAGTCAGATTGTATTCTGTCTATACAGCTCACGAGTAAACTACATAAGTGTTTGGATTTCTTATTTTATAGTTATCTAAAGCAACAGTGCATGTTGTAAGATCTATTTCTAAGGTAATGTCTAATGGTAAAGATATTGGTAAATCTGTGGCCCAAACTGACTTGCAAAATGTGTGGAACCCAGAAATAAATATCAATCCCAGACCCAGAGAATCAATACTAGTGAATGGGAGGTCATTTTCAGATGATTAGTGAGTGAGTTGAGTTACTGATTCTTCTAAGGATGGAGGTGGCGTCTGGCCAAAGTAAAGGATGAAAGACAAGCTATAGATATACATCCAGTCTAGATGTTATAATTCTAACCTTAATAAACAAAACTTACCTAAATTCCTTGGTAAGAAATAATTCCCCTGTTTCATCTCTATATACAAGTTGGGCTTCTTCTGTTATTGGTTTTATTTCTTTCCTCAGCCAACAGCCAGTTGTAGAGGGAATTAACCAGTAAATTCCAGGTCCTAGTTCACCACTCCACCCAAATACCTTTTTTCAAAAGGATAAACAACAAATAGACTTATCACTATATATATATAGATAGACTTATCACTATATATATATATATATAGATAGATAGACTTATCACTATATATATATATCACTTATCACTATATATATATATAGTGATAAGTCTATTGTCTTTCAATTTTTCTTCTGAAAGGGGGTGTTTCATGTAAATAATTTTACCTATCTCCAATACTACTATGGTTCTAAAAATTTTTTTTTCAGCTTTTAAAATCTTTTTATTAATTAAATCAAAACAAACCCTAGAACTCTGACTCTGCAGAATTGAGGTTGCCAGAGGGGAAAGTCAGGGCTCTAAAGGTTATTGCTAGTGGAGGATTGCTGATGCCTTGGTGGGCCTGACATATGTGGTAGCATATATATACATATATATCCTTTATATATGTAGATATGTACCTATACCCCTAAGTCAAATAGTCTTATAAATCAAAGTTATTTCAATAAAAATATGACAATTTACAAGAAAAAAAATATTTTTTGTTAAGTTTCTTAGTACAAGACCATTAGATATAGTTCTTTTTAGCGTTTTTAAGGAATGCCTAAAACAGAGTTTACTATTTGTATGAATTAGCCATATTTGTAAGCAACCAGTAATGTGGACAAAAGCATTAGAATTTTGCTATTTACATAATGTAGGCTACAAAACAAGATGGCAGTATCCCAGATAAACCTACCTCCTATAAAATTCTTTTCACCACAGTATATTTATAATGACAGGACATTTGTGTAGAAAAACATTCTATTCTCCTGTTTCATAAAATAAAGCAAAATGGTATCTCTATAGACCTTACAGATCTTTCTGGAGTCCAGTGGTTTCCTGTATAATTAGAGGTCAAATATATCCACCCTAAGAATTTTCTAGTCATGCATAAAAGTTAAGCAAAGAGTTATTTGCTCTTCAGAATAGAATAGTACTAGAGAATTCTGCCTGATATCACCAAAAATTCCTTTCAAAACCCAGGTGTATGAAGGTCATCCTGCGTATTCATATATAAAACAAAGTTGCTCATATGAATTCTGATTTCAGCCCTGAATTCTGTCCTCAAAAGACAGAGGTACCATAATCATCCTCTTCAAAAGACTGATTATGTCCTATGATAAAAGGAGCAATCCAAAAAGGCTGAGGGTCATATTGGAGACTAACAATTGATTAAATTCATTCTCTGGAAACCATAATCTTGGAGAAATGTAGATTGATATACAAGAGTGAAAGATAGTTCTTGGGGCCTCCATATACATGTTATCACATGAACCTCTCTTTTCCCCATATATAACCTGAATTGTTACAGAGACTGACAATGGAAAGTATATCATGGGCACTAAAATCTTATAGAAAAAACTATGAAACTAAACATTCCTTTGTAAATGTTACCTGTTACATGTAATCAGAAACCTATATAGTATAAGGCAAATAGAAACTCATTCAAACTTTATTACAATTTTGCTATGTTTCTCACTAACATTTCCAAAATATTTATTTTTATTTATTTATGCATACAATAACTGGAGTACAGGCCAGAGGTCTGGGAGTGAGTAGTATGAGAGTATTTACCAGACAAGTAGGGAGCAGAACAGGCAGATCGACTCAAATACACTGCTGAGGGGAACAGCAGGAGATATAGGAGAGGTCTGCTGTGCCATGTGGGTTAGCTCCCTGGGAGGGAATCAAACTCATGCCCCAGTGGCTGAATATAGCTTGACAGCGCTGAGATTTTAACTCCTGCACCACCGGGGAATTTCTTACTAACATTTTAACATATGCAATCTCATAAGAAAACAATTTTATTCAAAATAAAATGGAAAAAGCAATTATTTAAGACAATCCTTATCTTGAACTTAACTTTGTAGTCAAAATTAAGAACAATGGTCTAGTCAAAATATTAACTTCTGTCATTTTAATTTGTTACTTGCCTATAACTATCCTTATCAGTTAGGAAGCCTACATAAAGACTTTTATATAACATTCCATTAGGGAAATGTTTATCTGTTGTTGGGCCTAGATAAAGATTAAATATTGATATTACAGTCCTTGAATAGTATTATTCCTATTGGGAAGAGATGATTTTTGTAGTCTTCATAAAATAATTTATGTATCACATTTATATATCTGCCTTACATATTTGGCCTCTGATTAAATATATAATTTTAAAAGATCAGTATACCCCCATGGGCAACATGTAAAATCACTTAAAAAACTTTCTTAATCTATTTTGGAAACCTCTGAGTCAAGCATGAAGATAGTAATCTTGAAGTGATTCTTTTTTAGCCATAGTAGTATAAACAAACATCTGAAGCAACTTTTCCAGTCTTGGTTTCCTTCTTTTTAAAGAAAGGAATCCACTAGCATCAACTATTTTTATGGAATATAACAAAAATGTTCACCTATAAAGAGGAAAGTCAAATATAATGTCATACAATTTACAAGTTCTAAAGCCGAGATAGCTAATCAATGTTCAATTCTTAAATCTCAGCAAACAAGAAAAACTCCCTTATAATTAATAAAGCATACATAGTATGAAATGTGATTAAACATTGCACATACCCTAGTTGGATGGGAAGATACAAAAATTTAAGAAACAAGTGCAGAAAGACTATTATTTTACCCAAACTTGAGTTCACACTACATTTAAACATTCAACTAATATTAAACATTAGAAAAATAGATATATGTACTTCTCTGTTTCGGAGTTCAGTAAAACATATGAGTTGTAGATTTGCTTGACTCTCGTTTTCCTTAAGAACATACAAAGCAGTATCAATAGATAACCAAGGGGATGGTTTTCCTATAAGCAAACAAAAATCCCAACATCTTAAAAATAAGCCATCACTACTTACTCTTTCCAATCTAAAAAAAGCACTTAGTGTTTTTATCCACTTTGGATTTTTTCACGAAGATATACATTTTTATAGGAAAACATCATTGCACTTGCAATAATGTACTTATACACAGTAAACGTACTTATACACAGTAACCTTAATGTTCCTTAATGTTCTCTGTATACACACTTTCTAAAAATGATAACTTTTCTTAAACTTATCAGAGGGCTAAAGTGCAAGGCAATCAAATAAACTGAAATCTGAGAAAAAACAGATCCTTCCAAGGAAAGAAGGGATGAACACACTGGCTTACCTGTGGAAGAACACAGGAAGAAGAAATATCAAACACTATATTTTGAGAATGCTAAAATTTCTGTTTTCAGTTAGGATCTTTCCTCTGAACATCAGACCAGCAATCAACTGCCTATCTGACATTCCCACTTGAATTTCTATATCTAAATATGATCCCTTAAAAAAAAGAAAGAAAGAAAGAAAAAGAAAAAGAAAGTCCATCTATACTTGTCCCTATCTTAGCTACAGATAACTCATTCCTTATAGCTACTGACATTAAAAAATCTTGGAACCATCTTTAAGCTTCTTATTCTCTCATCTGTCATAATCAATTCTCAGAAAATTCTATGGTTCTACCTTTAAAACATAGCTGGAATCTTAATTGCTTATCCCTTCTATACCCTGGTCCAAGACATCATCAGTCCTCTTCTAGAATTCTGCAATAGCATCCTCACTAGACTTTTGTCTTTCTCCTAAATATCCTTCTATTTCCTATATGGCAATGGACTGCTTTTGTTAAATTAAAAGTCAGATATGTCTTGTCTTATTAGACATTCTCTGATGTAGTAGAGTTCAAAGAATATCACTCCTACCCTAACAATAAGTACATGGAGGAACTGTAAGTTTTCATGAATATATCAGACTGTAAGTTTTCTTGAATATATCACAGCTGAGGATACACAGCAACCAAGTACACTGAATAGGGGAAAGACAGACTCTTCCCCCAAAGAAATGAGATGAAAGCACTGGATTATGTGTGGTGGAACATAGGAGGCGATTTCATGCACCCAAAATAAAGAAGCATCTAAATTGATATTTTAAATATGTACAAAAAATGTAAACTTGCCTTCAACTTGACTCAAGTTTAATGGCTTAATTGTTATATAAACCATAGATCTCTGAGATATTTGCATCTTGTAGTGGTGACTAATGATTTCTCCATCATCTTCTAAAAAAAAGCAACCTTTGGATTGTACACATTGCCACTCCTGAAATGAAGGGAAAATATTTTTTCAAACAGTTATAACTGACCATAAAATGTGGTCAGGACAAAAAGTTACATATGCAAAACAGTATCATCCTGATTACTAAAATAGTTCTGGACACCTTGTAGGTGTTCAATAAATACTGTCTAACTGATTGGGGACACTGACATAAATGAAAACTTCATGAACTGTACCTTGAAGGACCAGCAGCTCTTAGACAATAATAAATTAGGAAAAGATAGAATGAATAGAAGAAATAAAATAATAAAATTGAAACAAAATAAAATAAATATGCTGCTGCAATACTTAGGGTGAGGTTAGTGGATCACAGTAAGAATGAAGTTAAGGCCTGCTAAAGCTGTTATGCTGAAATAAAAAAGTAATAGGATTTTGTATTAAAAAGTAAAGTACATTACAACAAAAAGAATTATTTTACATCAAGATAACTGAAAAAACACTAAATACATTTCACAGCTATAGTAAATGAAAATAAAAATCAATGTTGAGAAAGACCCTTATATAAAATTTGTCCTACTATTTCTTGGCCTATCAAGATCCTTTCTCTTAGTCTAAACAATATGTAAGACAAATGTCAAGTTTACTGTAGTGTTATAAAGGTAGGAAAATAGACAGTTCACACAAAAGGAGACAAAAATGATTTAAAAAATATGAAAATGTCCAACTTTACTGGTAATTGAGAAATTTAAATTCATGAAAAGTACAGTAAACTTGGTATTACCAAGTTTATTATTTTCTTACATACTTTAGTTAATTTTTGGTTATCTTTCAACTTACATACATTTTCCATTTTCATATTTTTCCTTAGAAATTTCTTTAAAAAAGAATTTAGGAAATTATCATTCTTGCTGAACTATTACTAAAGTTATCAGTCATTAATCACATGCACTGTCACACCTTTGGAGTATAAAAGATATGTGTACTTTTGATTCTGAGAAATTAATGTATGACCTTAAGTTGTTGGAAATCATCTTCATAGGGTATATTTCCCATGACAGAAACAGCTTATTATGTATTTCAATAATATCCCAGTAAGGCAATGTGGTTGATATAGTCACTTTAATAAATAGAGAAACTGAGGTACCTGGAGGCTATATGGGTTCAGTTTTATAAGGAAATAGTAGGTCTACAGTCTAAAATTTTTTGATTAAAGCTCGCACCATTAGATCTTGTTAAAAAAAATACACTTAGGGTACTCAATATTTTTATAACACACTAATGTTTAAAGTTAGGCTTAAGCCAAAAGTTCAACTATTAAAGAGGAATAAGATAAAGATGAGTAAGAGTATGTACAGATTTTCATTTAGCTTTCCTGTAAATCTCTTGGATGGAAATATATTAAGTACTAACAACAGATGTTGACATTACATCAAAGCCAATTGGCCTTAATACAATCAGCATGCCCTTGGGCAATGATGACTGCTATGAAGAAGAGAGGAAAGAGGAAGATATTTAGATAAGTTGCAGTGTAAGTCAGTTTGAACTAAGATTCTGACATCAAATAGAAAACATTTAAATTATTTTCCTTTAAGATTACACGTGAATAGAAACAAAAAGAAAAATATCAGTTTCATTTAAAGGTAGAATATATTGAAACTGAACAAAGGGTGAGAAAAAAAGGCAAAACTTGCAGACAGAACATTCATCTGAGGCATACAGCAGGAGAGGTAAGGAAAAGGGTCAAAATAGGGGAGGGAAGAGCACAAGGGACTATAGTGACGGTTCACAGTTGCTGTAGTGGTGGGAAAATTATGGGGACTACACCCGGGAGAAATCAAGTACTGCACAAAAATGAACAATGATGTAATAAAGTAAAATTATATTTTTCTTTCAAACATTTTGACAATAGCATTATCAAACAGATTTTTACTTAATACATTTTATAAATATATTTTTATATTTAAGGGATGCTAGTTTAGAATTATATAATATTAAAGGTAGAAGGGATGTAAAAAGCAATACAGTACAGATTTCTCTTTTGACTGGTAAGGTATATCTGAGAAAGTGATATGCTTAAATCACAATTTTTGTTGACTGCAGTTCAGAGCTGGAATCTAGTTCTCTTTGCTTGTCTCTAAACTACCAGGAATATTAAAAACTCTGTTCTTGGTTGGTGGTTACTACAACAGAAGGTGAAAATAGGTTGGGGAGCTGTTAGCTATGTGGTTGTGAATAAAAATTAGACTTTGGTAATGAATTGATATAGTATATATAGATAATGAAGTATATCATTATACACCTGAAATTAAAATAATATTATAAACCAATATAACTTCAACTGAAACAATTTGTTTTCATATTTAAATATCTGCAATGATTTTAAAAAGTTGATGTTTAAAGAAAATTATTTAAACATTATTACAATAAAGTTTGACAAAGCATCATTTGGAATTATCTATATAGTTAAGTGTTTGAATAAACACTTAATAAAAATGTAGGTGTTAGTAGCTGGAAATGTCTTAGATTTGTGTTTTAATATGGATTTAGTAGACTTCATCCAGTTTAAAACAAAATTTAAAAGAAACTGTAAAAATTAATGCATTTTTGTCTGACATACTGGTAGTTAAAGATTATAAAAAGTATAAACTTAAAAGCAAAAGTTAAAATAAATGATTCTCACAGGTAATTAAAAAAAGTTGTGGTATTTGGATAACAAATTGTCTCAGTGATTTGGTACTATTGAGGGTGGTACCATGAACTGACAAGAGACACCTTTGTAAAATTTAGCTGGAGAACAAGTTAAACATTTTTGAGTTTTTTCCCAAGTTCCCTATTTAGAAAAGGTAAAAGAGAAGAGGTAAAAGGTAGAAGAGAACTTGTAAGTTTCTTTGGAAAGACAGCCACTTGCATACCAATACATGATATGTGGCTAATAAGATGGCAAGTGAGATGAATACCACATTATTTATATCAACCAAATCTCAATGTAATAATCAGATTATTTTGAATACTAAGTAACTACTAAAAAATGCAACTCAACTATTAAAAGGAAGCTTTCAAATATTTAAGAACTGCCACAATTATTAAATATACAATGCTATTCAATCTAAGATTCTCTTTAAAAGAAATTGATTTTCAATCACACAAAGCTTTTTCACTAGGACCTAGACTAAAATGCTATGAATTAAAAAAAAAAAAAAAAGCTTATTCAAATAAATCAATTTGAAAGTACTATAGATTAAGTTGACAGATTGAATAATATTATCAAAATGGCAGAAGGCTGAATTTCAAAAAAAGAATTTAGAATGATAGCACAAGAAATTCCAAGAATAATATAATTTTTTGACAATATAGAGTGGAAATAAAATACTAGCTTGTAATTCTTAAACAGGGCATAAGGTGGTGCTATACTCTACCAATTCACATAAATTCTTATAAATTCTATAACTGTTAATTCACTTGTCATATACAAATTTCATTTATTTTCATTCACAATGTATAAAGAAATGCTGAAAAGCACAAATTAAAAATGAAAATTCTAGTTACCAAAACAAATACATTAGTAGCTTCTATTTTTCTTGGAACACATGAACATGTTTTAACATGCAAATTCTGTATTATCATTAAAGTTTTAGATGAGGCAGAATTATAAACAGTATATTAACCAGAGACTTAGAATTTATCGTCATCATTGTTGCTTTTTATCAATATACCCTATATCATATACCTATTAGAATGCTAGTTGCTTTTAGTTCCTTAACTTTCGTTATTAAAGAAATTTCAACAGAAGAAACGTAAAAGCAAAAGACCAAACAGATGATTTACAATGGGGAAACTTCTGAAATGGATTGCCACTGAATCCATTTAAGTTGAACTGATCAAATTTTTGAAAATGTGAGAAATATTTGTAGTAGAAGTATTGTTTAAAAACTTTACAAAATTAACTATTCCCAAGTTTAAATTGTTTGCATTGTTATATATATAAAACATCTATATATCATACAAAATATTCACCTACAACATATACATATGTTGTACTACACATGTGTAGGCATATTATACTACTTAAGAGTGTGGATATAGGAAATATTACCTATCTGGAATACACAACTCATAGCTTGGGACTTCTCTAATTCTAATCATCACTGTGAAGAAAGTTGAGGTTGCTCCTCCCTCATTCATTACAAAATTTAAGCAAGAAGAAAAGTCCCTTCTTAAGTGATGAAATTGAGGTACCCAATCTTGATTAAAAAAGAAAACAATACCACAAAACTAAACAATAGTAATAAAACAACTATAAGCCAGAGACACTCTGCAGGGGAGGGGAAGGGACAGGGATCAAAACAAGGATGGGAAGAGCACAAGACACTATACTGGAGCACGGGTGACCTGATTGTGGAAATTCTATGGAGACTATACCTGATGTAAAATGTAAACTGTATACAAATAAATTAAGTATAATTTAAAAAATCCTTATAATAAAAAACATACTCTCACCAATAAAAAATTTTTTTAAGTGTTTGAAGAAAATTAATAATTCTTTTACTAATTTATTCTACTAATCTCAAGTAAAACTAACTATATAACAATATTTATAGGGCCCTCCCTGGTGGCACAGCGAGTTAAAGCACAGCACTAAGAAGCTAAAGCCACTTCCTCATGAGTTTGATTCCCGCCTGCCTCGGAGGGGGGCGAGTCAGACCTCTCCTGACCCGCCCCCTGCTCCCCTCAGCAGTGTACTTCATCTATCTGCCTGTTCTGCTCCCTTCTCTGTCTCTGGTGAATCCTCATACCCTCTACATCTCTGGTCTGTACCCTGGTTCCATATGAATAAATAAATAAAAATCTTTAAAAAAAAAACACACAATATTTATAACCCAGTACTTCTTAGAGAAATATATAAAACTTACAAATAAAAACTTCAAGATAAAATACAAAAAATAATTGAATGACAAAGAGTCATTTTAGTTCATCAAAGAAATATCAGATTGTAACAGTGAAATATCAGAATCAGGGTCAGAAGTAGGATATAAAGTCAGTTAAGTGATACAGGGTTAGGAATTATTTCCAAATACATTATATTTTATATGAAGGTGACAGAATTTAAAAGTTGACAGTATGTCATTTTCTTTTAATTATTACATTCTCTTTTAAAAAAAAGATTTATTTATTTATTTATACAGAACTGGGGTACAGGCCAGAGATATAGGGGTGATGAGAGGACTCACCAGACACCAGAGACAGATTGGGGAGCAGAATGTGCAGACCAACCAAATATCCTGCTGAGGGAAGCAACGATCAGGTCAGGAGAGATTTGCTATGTCATGTGGGTCACCTCCCTGGCTAGGGATTGAACTCATACTGAAGTGGCTGCAGCTAGCTTCATAATGCTGTACTTTAACCCGTTGCACCACCAGGGAGGACCCTAATTATTAAATTCTTGAAGTATTTTTTTACCTTATTCCCAAATGTCATCACTATCATTTCCTATTCTGCAGGTCCTAGATGCCAAACTTTAGTCTTTTGTTATGTAATTACCATGGTCTACAGACCAATTTTGGCAGTCTATTAAGTGACTAATGCATTTCAAAGCACACTAAATATAATTTCCCCCAATATATTGATAAGGAAACTGAGACTAAAGAGGGCTATTGGCTACAAAGGTCATACAGTAAGCAAGTGACAAAGCTAGGGTTCAATTACAGGTCTTAATTGACAACTAGAACAGTGCTTAGCAGGAAAGTCACTCGATATTGTTGGGAAAAAATGTATGAATAAATGAAACAGAATGCCATATACTACCTTGGTATATTACTAATATCCAAGTGAAAAAAAATTAATTCAAGGTCTATATTTTACACTAAGCAAACTGTTGGCATACATTACCTGTTTAGTAAATATTTGTTGAGTAGAATGAAATTGAATCATATTGGTTTGGGTTCAATTAACAAATGAATGACACAAAAGAAGTCTTATTATGGCTTTAATATAATTCATAGCAATGTTTAATTATATCTTTCTTTATGCTGACTAAAGTTATGTCTACTAGCACTTTTGAATCAGGTAAGCCAGTTAAGTAAGTTAGTTTGATGAGCATTTAATTTAGTTGCAAAATACAAAAAGGTTCCATTGGTGGAAAATAATATCATTGGACACTAAATATTTTGTGTGAACATGTTGGACATGCACACCAAATTGCTTAGGGTGTATAGATTCCTAAACAGTCTGAACAAAATTCCTTGGAGATAATGTGTTAAAATTTTAATATAGAACAAATGTCACTGTCTAGCAATTTAAAGATATAAGGGACTTCAGAGTTCAATAACAAATACAGAGTTGTTATTTGAAACAAAAATGTAGCTCTTGAGAACAATCAGTTCAGTTTTCTAACAGCAGTTATAGTATGTGGTCATAACCATTTTTCCCCCTTTTACAGAGGTCTCTAGGTACACATTTTTAATGTATCCTAGCAGTTTCCAGTTAATGTTTTATATTTCTGTAGCCATTATTTTCTGTTGAAAGAAAACTAGTAAAGGTTGAGTCTAGAAAGGGAAAACAAAGGAAGAAGATCAATATTAACACTCTACAAATATTGACTTAGCAAAGTGACTTTCTTGTCTTTCTCTCAAAGGAATTGATATTGAATGAATGACTTACTTATAAGATGCACCTATGGCAAGTATTTGTTAAACAAAACAAAAAAATTGTTTAGTAAAGTCCATAATTAGAAAATCTACTCATCAAGTTCAAAAACTTGAGGAGTCATTTTCAAAATGAAGGCCTTTTAGTAATATTCTAATTTACCATTGTTACCTTAACAGTGTTAGAGAACTAGCTGGCTGATAGGTATATGCAGTGATCCACAGAAAAACATCAATTGCTGCACAAATTTTACTGGTTCTCAGTAGACACTGAACAGTTAATAAACTTAAAATGTTTTTCATAAAAATCATATATGATCATTTAAAATACTATACCTTTATTGGGTTTGGCTCAGTTAATTTTGGATTTCTGTTGTCATTTGCACCCATGGTAATTGTGAAGGAAATGGATGTTTTGAACTTCCTAGTTGCTGCCAGTAAAGAACTCCTCGTGTCACCTGCAGAAGTCATAGTCATTGGTCTCACATCATACAAAGTTGTCACAGAAACTTTGTTTATAAGTAAAGTGTAGTGTAAAGGGGCTGTGTATTAATTTTGTTCTCTTTGTTCTTCCTATTGAAATAAAGTCAGAGATTTTATAGTAATCAAGCTTTAACAGCCCCTAATTTATGGACTACTAATAAGATTCCTTATTGCAATACGTCACCTTTTAGGCAGAAATTTTACTTTTAATAAAATATAATGAGCATAGCCAAGTCAAGTTCCATAATAAAATTTTACTTCAAGAGACTTTTATAATTTAAAGAGACTGGAAGCTGTAGCTAACAAAAGTTAGAGTCTCATTTGTTTTATCACAATAAGCTAAGATAGAAGGAAAAAATTATTTGCATATGACTATTCTGGATCAAGAAATTGTTATTGTCAAAAGTAAATACCTTTATTTGGAAATGCTTCCTGATCAGATTTTCTTATGATTCTAGGTGATGGTTTTGATACTGGTGATGAGTCCTTTTCAGGGAATCCTTCAATGTGGCTTCCAAACTGTTGACGCTTCAGTTTACTATCAACCTCCAGCTTTTCTAAAGTAGTTTTGAGACATTGCTCATTGGTTGTCATATATAATTTACAAAACTACAGGAAATAAAAAAGTAGTCCAGTGGGTAAAACACTCAGTCACACACTTGGGAGAAGGCAAATGCACATTAGTAGGCAAGGGGTAGACTGATAGATGGAATATATTTCCTATTGAACTAGGTTACTCATTTTATTTTCTTGAATCAGATTGACCACCCTCAAGTGACCTAGTGAAATGCAGCCATGATTCACAGAAGAGGTCATACTCTGAGTAAAATAAAATGCTACACAAAGAGAAGTGATTTATTATTATTTTTTACAAGACTGTGTAGACTTACGTTTGTTCTAAATAATTTTTATGATCCTTCTACCCTAGAAAAGGCCCATTTCCAAGGAGAGTCTCTAAGCTTGTGTGCGTGTGCTAAACACGCCCATGTTTTAACTTGGTTTTGCTATTCTTAATGTAGCTATTAGATTACAATTATGGGGCTGGAGAAATTAAATCCCTAAAACAATTAGTTTATATGTTGCCAGTATTAAAAAGATATGCCCCCTTTAAAATATATTTACCCTACACAGTAAGCAAACTTACACCAATACAAGCTTATGTACCTTGATATAATCAAATTTGCCATCAGCATTCACATCAGCCAAATTTATTATGGCATTCACTTCTTCTCGAGTCATCTTCTCACCTCTCTGAAAAAAAAAAAGATTTATTTTAAGCAACATGACTGTTATACTTTGCCATTTATGGGGATAGTGGAAGTTCATTATAATCCTTTCTACAAGTAAGTCTGAATATATGGTTTCTTCATAAATCTCAGAATGGGTATATCACAAACAAGAATGAAACTGTAATATAAAATAAAATTTCACAATTTTATTAAATTTTATAAAGGTGTGCTGAACTTCAGTTTATTAAATTTCAACAACTGTATATTGGAAATCTAGTAATAACTACTATTGAATTTAGAGTAATGATATATTCTTACAATGTACTGAGAAACAAAATGAATTCCTAATCTCATTTCTGCATTGTTTCTTTCATCACATAAGAACCGATCATTGATTTACAAAGGGTCTAGACAGGAAATAATTGCAAAGGAGCATAGGGGGATTACAATATGGGCTCAATTTCATACTTTATTTTTTATTTTACAAAGCATCTTTCATCTAGAAGGATTGTTGTACACAAAACATATCTGATCCATTTCACCTAATAATGAAATACTTATTTTTTTTTAAAAGATTTATTTATTTATGCATACAGAACTGGAATACAGGACAGAGGTGCAGGGGTGGTGAGAGGCCTCACCAGAGACAGAGTGAGGAGCAGAACAGGCAGATTGATGAAGTACACTGCTGAGGGGAGCAGCGGGCGGGTCAGGAGAGGTCTGCCACACCATATGGATCACCTCCAGGAAGGGGATTGAACTCATGTTGAAGTGGCTTCAGCTTCTCAGTGCTATGCTTTACTCCGCTGTGCCACCAGAAAGGGCCTGAAATACTTATTTTTAATATGGGCTTTGGTTGATAATGTTAGATCCCTAGCTGATTTGCAAAATAAGCATATTACAAAATTGTTTCAGTCTTACCTTTGTTAGAAGTTTATAAAGATCTGGGTGTAAAATAGAACCATCATCATTTACATCTAATTGCTTAAATGATTTTAGCAGTTCTGCTTTTGAAGTAGGTTTTTCCTTTCTTAAGATTATACAAAAATCATCAAAATTCAGTTTGGTAGTTTGAGGAGTCCAATATTTATTAATTGTCTTTTGGGATGGATTTCTTCCTGCATGCTGAAGTGCTGCCCGATAAAAACAAGTATTACTTTTTACAGTAATATTTGGAATTGGTATTTAATTGTGTTTTTTCTTTAAATTGCTATATAATATTAAAAAGCAAATGAACATACATATATACCAACATATTACCTTTGGAGTTTATAATCTAGTGATATCAATGTGTGTTTTACTTTCACAAATACACACACACACACATATAAGATTCTTGATTTATTTATTGCCAGATACTAAAAGTGTTTCAATTCTATTATTATAAATCTTCAGGTATTAAAATAGGAATTATATATATAAGCAAGTAATTGATAGAAGCCTTAAAATACTTTTCTAGTTTGCATAATTTTTGAGTATTTTACACTGCTAGTATATTTAATTTATATTTACATGAAATAGTACAATAGCTTAATGTAGGTCAATTGCACAAGGCTACTCAGAAATTGGGATGATTCAGCAAAGTAATTCTAATTCCAAATTTTCTGATCTATTAACTTTCAATCAATAAGGCAAAATAGTTAAAATTAGAATAAAAAATTTACCTAAGTAAAGTTGATCTTTAGAAACAATGTTTTCTAAACTGCTTTTGAAAACAGTTAAGTAGGCAGCTCTACAATTCATATAAAATATCTCCTCTTCTGTTAGTGGGAATTTCTTTGTTCGAGTACTCTCTGAAAGTGTTGATTTCTGATTGGAGAAAGCTGTATCACTTCCGGGACTGATGGCCATTCTGTAAGAAAATAATTTTAAAATTTGTTTTAGCTGATGCTGAAATAAGAGGAAATTTCAGAACATTAAAGTTTTTTTTTGTGAAAAAATGATGAACATCATATTATACGTACAGATTGTATTACTATATGTTAGCAATAATTCATCCTTGGCACTTCATTTATTTATATTGTAAATTTTGTATATAATATATGACATATATAAATATATGAGTAAGTAAATATATATGAGCAAGTCAGGTAGGGAAGAAGGGAGAGAGAGGAAGGTCAGGAAGGAAAGGGAAGGAAGGGAAAGGGGGAGAGAAAGACAGAAAGAGAAACAGAGAGAGAGAGAGAGAGCACCAAAGGACAAAGCCAAAACAAAAAAACAACACTAACTACAACCGAACAATCATGGAGCAAAGGCACTCACGCTTCTATTTTCTCAAAATAAGAAAACAGTTGAGAGTCTTCACAAGGTTGTCATGAGAATTAGATAAATTAATACAAGTGAAGCATATAGAAGAGTGCCTGGCACATAATATGTGATAAGTAAACTGCAGAGTGAAAGTTCACAGCAATGAGTATTGATACACCATGTTTGGCAGCTGGCATCCATCCTCTACAGCAGTATCAACCAGGTAATTTCACTAATATCTCAATGATGTAGTCACACATTTTAAATGACTGGATTTTAAAATCCCATTTATAGTATTATGATGAGATTTTACTGTGTTCCATTACCAATAATAATATTTTGGATTTATATAGCACCTCTGCTCATAAGAGCATAAAGAACTATCACACAATTTGATTTATCCCCACTACAGTGATCAGATATTTTTTTGTCCGTTTTACAGATAAGGATATTGAGGGACAGAGATGTCACCCAGCTAATAGTAAGTAGCAAAAGGCAGTAAATTTCAATGACAGTTTCTTCTTTATTAATGTGAATAAAAGCTTCTCATACTACAGTTAATACACAGCACTAAATTGTGCTGGTGCTCTAACAGCTTCCAACATTATTTTACTCAGCTTTGACTTCTAAGAATACATTCCAACCTAATAAATTGAATATTTCAAGTTCAACAATAAGACGACACAGGTAGGGTCCCCTTCAGGACTCATTGGATTCTTACTCAGGAGGCCTAAATCACTTGCACCTTCTTGAATTATATAGGTCTTTTACACTTGGGAAAGAAAGATAATAATCGCTTATCATGGATGAATTACCCTATTTATAATACACACACCGCCTGCCTGACACTTTCATATTACACCAGATTTAGAAGGACCCCATAGGGATGTGGAGTCACAGTCTGGTTACTGCAAATTGGTATCACTATAATTAAGCATCAGAGTTTCAAACACATATACGTGCACGCATCTCCTCATAAATGTGAAAACTGTTCCAATAAGAAAAGGAGAATAAAGTTCATTTTGCAGCAAGTAATTTTAAAATGTGTGTGGTGGGTTTTGTTTGTGTGTGTGTGTGTTTTTTTTTTTTTTTTTTTTAAGGATCATCCTCCTATACTCTTTCCAAAGAAGTGACTCTCTCACGTGGAAATCCCACTGAAGAAATGCTCCAGAACTCTATTCTTTCCCTTTCTATGACGAGGCTAAACGGAAGCTTAAATAAATATATAACTGCACCCCTCAGGCTTACAAACTTCCTTCATTTAAAACTCTAGCCCGAGACCAACACAGGGGCCTAGAGAGAACACTGCAGCAAACGGATCCATAAATAACCAGCTACACAATAGCAAGAAAAATAAACTGTTAACAAGCGCCAAAGGTTTCTTAAGGGGCGACGAAACAGAGACAGCCAGTCAGTTTCATCCCAGGGAAATACATGCACAGCTGATGTTGGACAACCTCTCTGTACTTCTGTATTCTGCTGGGCTTAAAGCTGCATTTATAGGTACAATTTAGGAACATCCAAAGACAATGTTAGTATGAAAAAGCAGGCAGGAGAAGAGAAAGTCGAAATGAAGGATCTAGAAGCAAAGGGCCCGAGACAGCAGGCTGCTTGCTACCTAATTTTAGTTCACCTACGAGGAAGCGGAGCCAATTCTCTGTGCAGATTCCGCGATCCTCTCAACGCCGCCGGACAGACTTCGGCCTATCTTCAATTACCATGGCAACTGCGCCTCCGCGCCACCGGAAATTAGATACGGAGCATTTCCCACACAGTCCGGCTAGGAATCGAGAGATCGTCCACCCAGAGCAAACAGAGATGGGTCTATTGCTCCTCAACGAAGGGCGGTTTTAGACTCGAATCGTTGAGAGATGGGCCCTGGTTGCACTGGCAGGACTGGAAGGAGCCCTCGAGGTGCCCGCCGGTCCTTGGTCCCCCGCATACACTCGGATCGCTAGTAGCTGAAGCGTGTTTCCGGCGGGTCTCGATGAATGTGACACAGTGTTGAACTCCAGCCCTCCCGCGCTTTTCAGGCTTCAGCGTTTCGCTGCAAGTTTTTCTGATTTCGGAGGAGATTTCTTAGTGGGTCTTAACCGACGGCGGCGGTGCTTTGCTGAAAGTCGAAATGCCGTAGGTATCTCTTTCCCACGTATTGCTGTTGGCTAGACTCTGTGAACACGAAGAGATTACATATGACCCGATAGCGATTTTCGTTTTCCTGCATTTCTGAATGTGTCCTCCGCCAGCAGCTGACAGTTTCTATTGCTTGTACCCTCAACCCACTCGTGCTCCTCTAACAGCCGCACTCCTCCGGGAGTCCATGCCCACTTTAATTCTGGTTCTCCCAGGCTTTTGACAGATTTGCTTTCATAGGTTGTGGGCTATGTATTAGCGATGTATTTATTGCTGGACATAATTTCAAAACATGGCTAATTTTACCGAGGATGAGACAGAGTAGATTGAAACATGCCGTATACCTGGGCAAAGTTCTTTTGTGTCCACATTAATGTAGTCAGTTCACCGCAAACATAGAAGAACTCATGGACTAATTTTCAAGAGACCTGAATTCCAGCTCAAACAACGAAATGGACAATTAAGGAAAGAACTGTCCAACATTGGACAAATCTTATTTAAAGCTGTGGGCTTTAAACTTAATTTTTGCTGCCTTATTTAAAAAAAAGTCAGCTCAGTAAGGAAGTTGATGAGAGGGGAGGAAGTAGTATCTAATACTTGAAAATTTCTGGCTTCCCCTCTTTCCTGGCTGGCTTGGGTACCCCATTTTGTATAAGTAAGTCTACACTAACATTCCTGTATTATTTTCAGGTTTGAGCAAAATACAGAGTAACATAGTGGAAGAAATAATTGTATCAAGTAGAAAGTGTCATAAAAATGGAAAGATATACAAGAACAATAACCAACTTTTGTTAAATCTTTATTATTTGGATACTGTGCTCTCTGAAGGTAGAGTAGTGTTTAAGTGATGTTGATGACTTGTGAGTATGCACTTGAGATACTAAATGGAATTGTTATCTATCTTGTTTCTAATTTGTTTGAACTTTAAGACTGAAAAAAAATGTGGGCATGAATACATTTGGAAATACACATGGCCTAAGTGACGCTCACATAAATAGAAAACTAAATGTTTAATGACAACAGAATGAATGGGTGAATCTTCAAACCATAGTGAGTGACTGAACCAGTTTCTGAAAGACTGAATATTATATAACTTTCTAAAGTTTAAGAAGAAGCAGAAACAGATTATTACATAGGAGTAAGTATGTATGTATGTGATAAGGTTATTTTAAAAATGATAACTGGGCCCTCCTTGGTTGTGCAGCGGGTTGAAGCACAGCACTCAGAAGCTAAAACCATTTCAGCATGAATTCGATCCCTGCCGGGGAGGTGATCCACATGGCGCCATAGACCTCTCCAGACCTGACCACTGCTCCCTTCAACAGTGTACTTCTTCAGTCGGCCTGTTCTGCTCCCCACTCTGCCTCTGGTGAATCCTCTCACCACCCCAGCACCTCTGGCCTGTACCCCAGTTCTGTATGCATAAATAAATAAATCTTTTTTTAAAATGATAAGTACAGGGCCCTCCATGGTGGCGCAAAGGGCTAGGACGCAGCACTGCAATCTGGCGGCATCCGTTTCAGTGAGGGTTTGATCCTCAGCCCGGGAGAATCCACATGGCGCAGCAGATCTCTCCTGACCCGCCCGCTGCTCCCCTCAGCAGTGTACTTTGTCAATCTGCCTGTTCTGCTCCCCACTCTGCCTCTGGTGAAGCTTCTCACCACCCCTGCACCTCTGGCTGTACCCCAGTTCTGTATGAATAAATAAATAAATCTTAAAAAAAATGATAAGTACAAAATTCAGTTTACTGGCCCCCATGTAGGGAGAGCAGAGAGAATAGAGAAGTAGATAGGTATACGTACCCTGTTGGTAATAACCTAGTTCTTAAACTTTGTAAGAGGCTTATGGGTTTTTTTATTTTTGTATTATACTTCTCATAACTTGCTCATCTTACATGTACCCTTTAGTGTGCATCAATACTACTTAAAACATTTTAAAAGGATTTAGAGATTACCTATCTTGAATTAAATGTTCAGTTTCTCTACAGTCTCTTTAGAGGGTCATATAAGGCAGACACTGTCTTGGAATGAAGTGTGACTTCTGGTTTAATTAAGTTACTGTTCTGCGTGTTAAACTTGCTCTTCTATGTATGTTACAAAATTAGTGGCATCATTTTTCTTTCTAAATTGAAGGTTTATTTATTTATTTTTAGACTTGAAGACTTTAAAGCAAGACAAACATTGATTAGAATCTTGGTTCTGCTACTTTAGCAGTTGTATGACTCTTAAATTGTTAATGTTTTCAGTAAAATAGTTACTTAATAAATATTTGGTTAAGTTGCTGCTCTGAGAATATCTCTTCATAGTTACACAAATTTCACATCATATCTGTATTTGCATAAACTAAAGTCCAACATACCCTTATAATAGCTTCTTTATAAAGCTTCCTAGCTAGCACCACTTGATTTAGTCTTTCCACTTAGTGTATTCTCATTCCAATTTAGTCGAAGACAAACCTCTGAGAGATAGTATTTTTTTCCTGTTCCAAGCTTATATACTGAAGTAAGGTTGGAACAGCATTATTGTTAAGGAAAACTATTTGTAATAATATTCCTGAGGATATATTCATAAATATCTAAGAGTTTTCTGAGAGAACATTGAAATATTCTTTCTTTTCCTTGATAAAGAAAAGCATATAAGCTGGTGTGGGTGCCCATTTAGAAAATAAATAGATTTATTTTAAAATTGTGGTAAAATACACATAACAAAAGTTTGTTTCAACCATTTCAAAGTGTACAGTTCTGTGACATGAAGTACACCCATATTGTTGTGCAACTGTCACCATTATGCATGATCTTTTACATCTTGCAAAGCTGAAGCTTTAAACCCACCAAGTTATAACCCTAAGCAAACACCATTTTGTCTTAAAGTTGATTGAGTATTCATTTGAGTGGAATTATACAGTATTTTTCTTTTTTGTGACTGTCATTATTTCATGATGTCTTCAGGATATATCCAGTTTGTAATACATTAGTTTCCTTTTAAGACTTAGTAGTATTGCATTGTATGTATATATTTTGTCTACTAATTTATCTGTTGATGCATACTTGCATTGCTTTCACCTTCAGACCATTAGGAATAATGCTGGTATGAGCACAGAGTTGAACATGGCACAGGGTGTGTCATGTTCCAATTTTCATTTCTTTTGAAATGGAATTGCTATATTATATAATAATTTTGTGTTTGATTTTTTTTTTTTAGCAACTGACAAACTTTTCCATAGCAGCGGTACTATTTTATAGTCCTACCAGCAGTGCACAAGAATTCCAGTTTGTTCAACTCCTAGATAACACTTATTTTTCTGTTTATAGGACAGTGGCTGACCTAATGGGTATGAAGTTCTCATCATATCTGATTTGCATTTCCCTAATATTTGTGATGTTGAGTGTTATTGGTCATTTGTGTTTCATCTTTCAGAAATGTCTGAGTTCTTTGTCTATTTTTGGTTCCCAATTTTAAAAACCAATGTGGTAATAAAGAGCATCTTACAACTTTATGGAACTGTGAGAAATATATCTGTTTTAATTGCTAATACTGGTAGAAATGAGTAAATAACTTAAGGAAATATTTATTCCATATAACTAATCAAGTTTTGTATGTCTTTAATTATTTTGTGTGTCATTTATCTCTTCCTCCTTTTTCCTATTAGCATCATCCTAATCTGCTTAACAGCATCTCATACTTGTATGACAGTGGCCATGGGTAAAAAAGTGAGTTTAATAAAAGGAGGTAGATTAAAGCTTATGGTAACGTCTTAATTTGACAAATGATATGTTGACAGTGGGCCAAGTTTTAATGCAGTGTGTACAAATTCGTCTGGTAGGCTTGCTCTTGTTTATCTTGTCTTTAACCCTGCCCTAAACTGAATCAAGATTTATTATATGAAGAACCTGAGACCTAAGTTTCTCCCCACCAAGTAGTGTGCGCAGGTCACACTAACTCTCCTCATTGAATTGTGGTGACTTCTTAGATTTCTTAGTTCTGTCATTAAAGCTTTCATGACTCTTGTAAATGCTAGATAATTCTGGGACCTAAACTGAAAGTCTTGTAAATTGAAACATTGGTTATTTTAAGAATTAGCCATTGGTAATAAAGCACAATATTTTAAACAGCTCATATCAGGATAGGGTTTATTTCCTTTTGTATACCTCTTGACATTTAAAAACAAAGAGTAAAAATACTCATCGTGTGCTTCTAGTTTCTACATTGAAGTTTTATAAAATATAAAATCTCTCACACACTTGAATACAGTGATACATATTCCAAAACTAAATATAAATACATTTTGGAGAAGGAAACTGTGTACATTCTTAATGGCAATGTAATTTAGTACAACTTTTGGGAAACAGTACGGTGGAGTTCTCAAAAAATTAAGAATAAAAATACCATGTGTCCAGTTATTCCATTTTTAGGCATAAATCAGAAAAATATGAGAACACTAATTTTCAGAGATGTATTACCCTTTTCACTGCAGTATTGTTTGTAATAATACAGATAAGGCAGCAAGCATGCCCATTAACAAATGGAATGCATTAAAGATGTATATGTATCTGGCATATGTCTGTGTGTATGTATACACACATTAAATGGAGAATTACTCAGTCTTAAAAAAGATGAAATCTTGCCATTTGTGACAACCTGAATCAACCTTGAGGGTATTAGACTAAGTAAATTACATTGGATGGAGAAATAAAAATACTGTATGATTTCACTCATGTGGAATGTTAAACAAATGAACGCAACAAACAAACATATATAGAACAAATGGATGGTTATTACCAGGGGAAGGGAGAACAAAATAATAAAAGCGGCCAACTGTATTGTGATGAATGGAAACAAGATTTTTGGTGGTGAAGTATAATGTGTAAAGATACGGAATCTGAAGCATATGATATTATAAACCAGCATTACCTTGATAAATGCATACATGCATAATTTTTGGAATTATTTCAAAAGCTAAATACAGAGCATTTCTTATCTACCATTTTTATTTGTTCATAGCTCTACTTTTTGCTTCATTGAGAATTTATATTAAATTGATTTCAAGTAGACTTCTAAAAGATAAATAATTCTTAAAACCAGTACAATCTCAAGAAATAATGTTCTATGATAGGCTAGCATAGATGTAATAAAAAATTAAGTGACCCTATTTAGATAAATTCCTGCATTATTTGCTACTCAATAATTTTTATAAGTTGCATAACATTTCTATTTTTTCTTGCTTTTGTCACTTGTTAAAGTCATTATTTGGTTAAAAGTTGTCACTTTCTAGGATCTGTGAATACTTTTTGATTTCTATAATACATCTTTCGTAATCTTTTTTTTTAAGCTCAGACCCTCTAATATTTTAAAATAACTTAATTTCTATTTCTCAGGGATCAAGAAAGTACTTTTAATACTCCATTTGTCACTGAAAAAGCTGGTTTTAATTTATATTGACCTTTCTCTCCTTTGAGCATTTAGTCTGCACTCAATAAAATGTTGATGATTGCTCTTTAGAAGACAGCTGTACGAAATAAAGTATTATAAATATTCAGCTTTCCTTTCTAAGCATTGTCACCAACAGCTGGGCATCTAGTTTAGCAGAACAGATTTTACACAAAGAGAGACAGGCATGTTCCTGAATCAGTTTAGTGAAGGAGACAAAAAATAGTTTCTTATGGGTTGGGGACTTATAAAGACATAGAGCATCTGTTCCTCAGTTAAGTGATAGCCTGGTAGCTCTGAATCATGTTTAAAGCTAGAATAATGTGCAAACTTTTTTTTACCTTGCTCATATCTTTAATATTATTTCTGCAAATAATACACTTTCAACATCACCACTGAAGTTCCATAAATGATTTTGCTTTTACACGTAATTTTTCTTTAGTGGTATTTTAAAAACATGAATATAGTGGTTTTTACTAAGATTATAATAGGGCTTTAATGATTGACTTGTATGATGTACATATATGTGTGTGTGTTTATATATACTTATAGCAACACTTACAATAAAGATCCATTTCAACACTTAATTTTCATTCTACCTTGCAATATACCATTTGAAAAACATTTATGAAAGTTGCTGTCTTCAAGATATGGTATTTTACTTTTGTTGGAGGAAATAACTTTAAATCTTTGATTATATGTTATTATTAAATATTTGGCTACTTTAATATATCAAATCTAAGATTTTTTTAAATATTTTGTTGCAGTGTTAAAAGATCACTGAAATTGGATGGTATGACAAAAGAAAATGTAAGTATTTGCTTGTATAATAAGATTGTTTTTATTTTTTTAACCACTTACCTTAATAAATATAAGAATTATCAAAAAACAGTGTAAAATAAAGGTATTTGATATATCATTTTCTGCATATAAAATTGTTTTTTGTAAGCCAGATATGTTAAAGTTCCTGGTCAGCTTTAAGTTTTTACTTAAGAGAAAATTATTTAGTAACTGTAATGAAATAATTTAGTAAAAATTAATTCAGTGTGGAAAAAGTATTCTGCCACTTAAATGAACAAAAACAATAAGGGACAATGGCAATACTTTAATTTGTATTCTGTCATCTAAATTGAAATAAAAACATTAACCACATTTATATATAAAAATTTTAATTACCTCCTTCAGCTATGCTGGTATGAATAAGCAATAAAATACTAACACTGTGATAAATTTCACCGTGGTTGTCACAATAAAAATAAAATTGTACTGCTGCTATTATTTTTTGTAAATCTAGTCATAGCACATTCCCATTGCCAGCATATGATGACATATGTTAGTTTATTATCTTTTCATATCAACTATGGATATTGATGCAAACACTGATACTGAGATACTTATGGCCTCCGCAATCTTAAGTGCAGATAAATTGATGAGAAAGTAAATTAACACAAATAGCTAGTCAATAAATGGGCTCATGAAATCCCGTATGAGAATGCCATTTCAAGAAATGGATTTTATATGAAATTTCTCTTTTGAAGACTCACTAGTATTTAGCAATTTACCATTTTTAAAACTTCTTAGATGCGTTTTAAAAAATTCAAACAAAGGTGGCAAAATACTGCAGTGACACTAAAAAAATCATTAGTGTTGCAATTAACAATTTAGAGTACCATTATCCAACTTGTTCTGTATGGAATGCAGCTGTGACTGTAATTCTGCATCTGTTTCTTTGGTCAGAATGGTATTTTGGTAGATGAGTAGTCCAGCTTGAAATGAAATACTGCACTTTCCTGTCCCCAAACTGTTCTTTGGGAGATGGTAACATTATTTGAATGGAAACAAATGGCCATTTAGGAATTCATCCACTTCATGTCATCATGGCAAGCTTTCTGTCCATTTCTTCCTCAGATTAGTGTATGTGTCAAGTTAGCCATTGCCACAGCTAATATCCTGTATTAGAAAAATACATTGTTATGTTTGGCCCAATTCTGTGCCTTTAAATCAGCTAACTTAATCTTAGTATCCCATGGCTATCACTTGCTCAAAACAGGTCCTGTCCAAGGTCTTCGACATGTATATTTTCTAATCTATTTCTGATTTTTTTATCTTATTTCTTCACCATTTGTAGCTTTATATACCTACGTCTTAGGTCTGACCACTTTTACTCTTGCTAAGTCTAGGCTTCTCTCCTAAGCTATGTTTATGTTTCCATCCACTCCACTAACAACTTAGCCCTGAAGCAGTCTGGCTTAAAGAATCTGCCCATATACCATTTTTTCCCATTGAGACTGCCTTATCCCAGACAAAGAAGAATCAAGCATTCAAGATACATAGCTATAATTCTTAGAGCACCTAATTGCAGAGCACCTAATCACTTCATGATTAGTCTATCTGACCAATATGATGCTGAATGAAGAAGACTCTGGTGTCCAAGAGTTTTGCCATAAGAAAGTCCCCCGTAAATGCAGTTGAGCATACCCACTAACTCTGGCTCCTCTTCATTCAGAGATATTTGAACTCCCAGCTCCTAATGTTCCCAGATCTTCCTTGACATTAATGCTTTATGATATTAGAGAATGTCCACAAAAGCCATTTTCCTTGTGATTTCCCTAATGATGGGAGCAGAGGTATAGATATTCCCCTATAACCTTCCTTTAATATATAGAATGTACACTGCAAATACCACTATTTGCTGAACCTCCCAAAATGTGGGGAGGAATTAAGGTTTCATTTTATTAATATTATTACCTACAATATTTGGGCTGCTCAAGTTACTGCCTTCCAAGCACTGTTTCTAGGATTTTCAGGGATGGTGAATTGTTTGTTACAAACTGCTATCAATGGCCATCTAGATGACTTTATAAGCACAGCTGGCTATCTGGTCATATACTTAGTCATCTTGACCCAGTTTCTTTCAGACCAAATGAGAGAAGGAATTAAAGAAATAGATGCTACAGATAAAAAATGGAAAAACATAATTCCTGTTCAGGCAACTCAAGAAGTGTGCTGCTAGAGGAATGGAAGTGTAGATTTGAGAGAGGTTTGCTGATTTGGACGTGGATACCAGCCTAGATTACTCTACTATTATTGATAGGACATTTCTAAATCTGAATATGCTGTGGCCTAACCTTGTGTTGAGTTTCTGCTAATACCTGAAATTAGGAAGGAATTTGGACTCAGGACATTTAGACATTTTATAGCTCACATCCTGCAGACTTACTGATCTAACTTAAAGCTATTCCTTTCTTTTTTTTCCCCCAGCCTGTCCTTTCTTCTCTCTCACCTTTTTATTATAGAAGTCTTCAAATAGACACAGAGGTAAAGAAAATAATGTAATAAACTCCCAATTAGCCATCACTTAGCTTCAATAATTCTTGCCAATTTTGCCTCATCTATTTGTGTGTATTTGTGTCTGTATTTTTTTCTGTGAAGAGACTTCATTAAAAACATTTTGAGGCCCTCCCTGGTGGCACAGCGGGTTAGAGCACAGCACTGAGAAGCTAAAGCCACTACTGCATGAGTTCGATTCCTGCCTACCCCGGAGGTGACCACATGGCGTGGCAGACCTCTCCTGACCCGCCCGCTGCTCCCTTCAGCAGTGTACTTCGTAGATCTGCCTGTTCTGCTCCCCACTCTGTCTCTGGTGAAGCCTCTTGCCGCCCCTGAGCCTCTGGCCTGTACCCCAGTTCTGTATGCACAAATAAATAAATCTTTTAAAAAAAAAACATTTTGAGAATTAAAGGACAAAAGAATTATAAAATAGTGATATTGTCATTATTAAAACTAATATTTTAATATCTTAAAGTTTTAGGACAATAATGAACATAAACAGGATGACAGTATATCACTGTTCAGCCAACATTTTCCTATTAAAATTTTTTTTATCAAACTAAAATTTATATAACATGAGCTTCACATATCTTGAATGTATATTCCACTGAGTTTTAACAAATATTATGCCTGTGTACCAAACACCCAATCAAGATGTAGAACTGTTCCATCACCATAAATCTAACATATTTGGTTATTTTCCTTCCCCACTATACCTGTAAAATCACTGAGATTCACAGGAAATTATTTTGTTCATAGCTATTGATAAAAATAGCAACAAAGCCCCAACATTGTTAGAACCATTAAGGATGATAATTATGACGAATGAAAAAAACTTAGTTGATATCTAAAACTCCACTAGTAATCCGAGACCCAAATTATGAAAAGTCCTTGAGACAGCTAGTTTCCAATATAAATTCCACAGTTAATACTAGTCATGCATAGCAATATCATAGATGATATGATCATTCCAATATAACCTCATTAACCAGTATACTGTTTTTTCAGTATAGGGTTAATAAGGAACTTTTTCCCTTTGGCTGCCCTAGTTTTTCTTTTGTTTCTGGTTATCAAAATGCCTTACATGTTTTAAATGTTTTAGTGATAGCATAGGCTAGTAGTTCATAATAATAACAGCAGATCCTTTATATCCTATATTTCACCCTGAAAGAACCCTTAGTTTGTACTTTCTAGACTGTTTATAATAGGTAAAAATCAATGAAATGCAGGCACCTTTTTGGTAGAGTATGCTTTAAAAAGGTGACACAGCCAGCTACAATTTGTGAAAGATATTGAAAGGGAAGATCATATATATTTGAAATTATGGAGAGAACATTGATTTCTTTTTTTAGGCAGAAAAATCAATGCCCAAATTTTAGTTTTGCTAATGTGTAAGGTTTGACCTTCTCAGAAATAGTACAGTGGCATTTGGGCTGATCATAGAATTTTAGAACATGACATTTTTTTAAATAGCAATAGTAAATATCTCCAAGGAGTCAGTAAATATTACAAGCAGTTGTAAGTTATTATAGAAATAGTTGTGGCTTATCTGATTTCTACCACCTTACATTTTTTTTGGTGTATCTTGAGTACTTTTACTTCTTTAACTAAGTCTATTTTCTTTTTTGCCTCCCCCTTCTTTCTTTTTTTCCCGCAAGGATCTGATAAGTAGCACTCTTATTTTTTATTGAAAGAGTGACAGTTCGTAGCTTAGTTGTTATCAGTTCCATTCTTCTTAACTCTTATTGCTGTGGTAGACCAAGACTTTCTGTGTTTGTTGGATGGCAGCACAGAAATTCATAGGTGAATTTAGGGTCACTTTAAACATCTTTAGAGTTTAAAAGTTAGAGGACCCACTAATACAATGATTTCTATTTCTAAATAATTGACATGGGGCTGGGGGGAGTAGGTTAGGGGGAGTACAGGAAAATGTTGGGAACTAAGATTATGCCTTTGTATATACCAATAGGAAAATCATATAAAAGTGTATTATTTATTGAAGAATATTTAGTGACATAGTAATTTTCATTTTTTGTTCCTATGTATTATAGTTGTAGACAGACCTTTTTTCCTTTCAAACAACACAGATGACCCAAAAAAGAAAGCAAGAGAGAAGTCTTAGTATTTTTTTTTAAAGATTTATTTATTTGTGCAATCAGAACTGGGGTACAGGCCAGAGGCTCATGGGCTGCGAGAGGCTTCACCAGAGACAGAGTGGGGAGCAGAACAGGCCGATCGACGAAGTACACTGCTGAGGGGAGCAGCAGGCGGGTCAGGAGAGGTCTGCCATGCCATGTGGTCACCTCCCCAGCAGACGGGAATTGAACTTATGTGGAAGTGGCTTTAGCTTCTTAGTGCTGTGCTTTAACCTGCTGCGTCACCAGGGAGGGCCCCAGGCTTAGTATTTTTATGGTAAAGGGAAAGAAAATTGTACACACACACGTGCACACACAAAGACATTTTATGAAAGCTAGAGAACTGTTTTCAAAGAAAAATGTATGATCTACTGTTATAATGTTTATATATTTGGCAATTGGAAAAAATAATTTTTTGGTGAAAATAGGGAAACAGATTGACATAAATGTGCATTAGGGCAGTGACTTTCATTTCTTGTACATACTCAGTGAAATAGTTCAGGGCAATAAATTTTTAGAAAACTAGGGTAGCATTGGATAAATGTCATTGTTTATGACTGAATATATATAAACAGGTGAAAACTCAAAATGGAGAGGTAATAATAACCACCTGATAAAAAGACTTAAAACCCTTCCACCCTACAAAAAAGATTGCTTTAGAGTAACTTGATATTACAGTTTGATTGTTGAAATTGATATGGTTACATTTGTGGCTACTGTGGATACATAAAGTAAAAATGTAATGTCTCTTGTCCCCCCCACCCCCACTAGTAATTACCAGTACTAGTAATTATTTATCATTTAAAAATCTTAACTATGAAAAACAAAACTTTATGCTGTAGATTTTGGAACTAATATCAACATTATTGAAGAAGGTAACACAATTACCATGTTGTCTTAAAAATAAAGAATAAATAAATATATATATATATGTGTGTGTATATATATATGTATATATATGTGTGTATATATATATATATATATATATAAAAGAAAAAGTAGGGCCCTCCCTGGTGGCACAGCAGGTTAAAGCACAGCACTACCAAGCTAAAGCCACTTGAGCACAAGTTTGATCCCCAGCCCTTGAGGTGACCCACATGGCATGGCAGACCTCTCCTGACCCACCCACTGTTCCCCTCAGCAGTGTACTTCAGTTAATCTGCCTGTTCTGCTCCCACTCTGTCTCTGGTGAAACCTCTCACCACACCTGCTCTTCTGGCCTGTACCCCAGTTCTGGATGCTTAAATAAATAAAACTTTAAAAATAAAGAAAGAAAGCAAGAATAATTTACAGTAGAGCATTTTGTAATTATTTTATGTTAGCTAGCAAGTTAAAGTACTCAACATTTGGCAACATATCATGAGCCTTGGAAGCCTTTCTTTTCTTCCCAAATCTACCCTTTTCTGTTTCCATGCCTTTTATTTTCACTCATCTAAGCTTTATCCTTTTCCCTCACAATAATCCTTCTTGAGGTTATTGGCAGCCTACTTTGCTTTTCCCTTTCCTCTGAATTTCTATAGAACAGATCAACTTAAGACCTCTTTTCTGTGTTTATGAAGCCAAAACATTTGTTTTATTTCTTTGTACAAATCTGTAAGCAAATTCTGGATAATTAGTAAGAATCATAGAAAACAAGTTTAAAGAGAATCAGATGAGTATACAACTAATAATGTGATGAGGGATGTTTGGAGAAAACCAAAGAAAGATTTGTTCCTGGGCAAGGTAAGAAAGTGTGCATTCTAAACTGGGATTACAGAATTCATCAAAGCCCAGATATGCCAAGGTAGTGACTGGGACTACAGGTGCCATTGAATATTGGATGATTGAGCTAACAAATAATATAATTTTGAGTATAGTGGCTAGGCAAAGTTTACTAAAATGTTTTTAAATCATTCACTTACCACACATTTTTTGAGTTCTAAGTTACAAAGTTGAAGAAAGGATATTTATTTTCGAGAATTCAAATTCCAATGGGCACGGAAATTTTAAAAGGTTATTAAACTGTGCCAACTCCGATAGAGGTATGCACAAAGTCTGTGGGAACAGAGGAGGAAACCACAGAAAGAATTGATGTAGGACAGGACAAATTCCCAAAAGCTTTAAATGTCAAACTCAGTTGTTGGAATATTATTTTTAGTTGTTAAGTTGCTGTGTCAGAGCAACTTTGTGAAGGTTTAGGTTTGCACTCATCCTGGGACTTCCTTCTGGTGTTACTAAGAGGTACTTTATAAGTTTTCCTGGCCTACCTCATAATTATACTTCAGGCTCAGCTGAGAGCAAAGTACAGTAAGCCATCTCTAATTTATTTAGAAATACTATCTCCCCTTTAATGTTAAATTTTTATAGATATCAAATAAGATGCCCTAATTATTGAAGTATCTACAAGATTTAAAACAATAATGCTCCCTTTGAAGATGACAGTTGAATGTATTTACAACCCAAAAAGGAAAGAGTGAAAAAGAGTATTCATCTGAATTTTGCAGATTTTTAAAGGTACTTTCAAATATCTATCACTAACCATAAGTATTTTTGTTCAAAATTAATATTTATTTCTAGTCATTCGAACCTTCAAAAGTCACAAGAAAGAGAAGTATTACAACTTATTCTCCAACAACCGGAACTTGCCAAATGAGCCCATTTGCTTCTCCCATAAGCTCTAGAGAACAAGAGTACAAAAATGTGCCATCAAATGGTTAGTTTAACATTCTTTTCCAGTTATTGTGAGATTTTTCTAGTTATTGGTTAAATCAGAATTCAGATTTAATAATATGTGAATCTTCTGTTGCTGATTTTTCTCTTAAAAGAATTCAACTTAGAAAAGACTAGAATATAGGTATTACTTCAGACATAATGTAAACTTTCTAGGCACTTATTTTAAAATGCTACTGCAGACTTTGTTCCCTTACTGTCCCATCCATTAAATAAAAATTATGGCCTGACTGCCTTCAGCTACTATCAATTATAATGGTTACAGATAACACCCCTTAACAAGCTATCCATCATGTGCATAAATTAAAGGGCACATAATTCAGGCACTGGTGCACTACAGTTTAAGAGTGATACTTCTAAATGTTATTTTTATCCATGTTGTCCATTTAATTTTATCCACATTTTGTGTATCCTATATAGACTTATTTTATTTCTTATATTTCTTTCCCTTCTTTTCCCCAGACTGTTTTAAATGCATTTGCAAAAGGTTTATAGAATGTTCAATTAGAGAATAACCTAATCTTAGTATGAAATTCTTTATTTTAAAATATTGTTAGTTTAATTTTGACCATTTCTTGTTCTCTGATAATTTATTACTAATATAATTATTTAAAATATGGAGAAATCTAGATTTTATCAGTTTAATTTTTAATATTAGAAATGTTATGAATCAGTGACATGTCAAATTTCTATAATATAAAATTTTAAATAGGTTTAAATTTAATAAAATATATTTTAGATATGCTGTGATTAGCTTAGGTCACATTTTATTGTTTAAATTTTGAGTGCTAAGCATATACTAAAAGCTACACAGAAACCAAAAAAATCTCCTCACTTTACTTAATTTGTTGTAATGAAACCCAAAATGAGATCTTAAACTTTTGAATGACTTTTATTTTACTTTAACCAAATTCTTTTTATCTTAAAGCCAACACTATTATGTTTTCTATACTTGATAAATCTTTTGTTTAAAATTAAAAATTAGTGCTTTGTAGATTGCATATGTCTATTGAAATGTTAATAGATTTTAAGTGAATACACATTCAGTTTCCATATAGAAATTAAATAGGGATGTTGGGAATATTCCTTTTGCCCGTAAAAAGATTGGTCACATGATCCCATTTGATATTTAAGTGAATATTTATCAAAGATTATAGTACTAAGTAAGCTCTCTTTTTAAAAAAGTTGTATGGCAAGGGTTCCTGAGGTGGGTTGTACTAATATTCGGTTCCTTACCTATGTTACGGTAACACTGGTTCATTCTGTAATTATTCATTAAACTATACATGTTTTATGTGCTTTTTCACATACATACACACACACACATATACATATATAGAGATATATCTTACATAGAGAAGTCTTAAAATAAGAAAGTTCAGTCAAGGATTTTCTATCAGATTATGTCATTTTTAGTCATTACATTGCTTATCCCAATATGTCATCTTACATATGGTTTAGAAATAAGGAAACAAGCTCTTAAAACCTCAAGTTCCCAATAAATAAGAAAATATAACTTATGATATAATTGAAGTTCCACAAGAAGTCATATCTTCTGTTAGCAATTCTTAATTTTTATGTCTTACTTATATGCATGTTTTCTCTTGTGCCTCTGTTAATTTTGTGAAAGTTTAGGTAAACCATGGCACTAGATTACTACATAGCAGCTTATGAATGAACTTAACCATTTATTTATGATTACCTGAAATAGATACATTTACAAATGAAGTATTTTAGTAGACACTCAAGATCCTCACATGGATTTGCTAACATCTGTGCATATAAAGAATGAGTTACTTTTATCCCTAAAATCAAAGTTATTTTACTGTGATGCCATTGGGAACTCACTATTTTCTAAATAGTAACTTTGAGACAAAAATATAGGGATGAAATAATATAAACGGGAAACTTTAGTATGGTATTTTTGTTAAAATACTTGCTGAAAGTATCCTTTATTTAATAAGGCTTATTAATGTACTTTAGTTATATTATTACCAACCTCCAATGGAAATTTGGTCAAAAGATTTTTTTTGTATGTCATAAAAGAATAATATATTAGGAGGACAGCAAATTAAAAACACAAAGTAGTTATTGAAAGTTAACTTTTTCCCATAGCAAAATTCAGAATACTTTTCATTTTCCTACTTCCTTTTAATTTACCTGCCCTCTTATATCTATTTAAAATTTGATGTATTTTTCTGTAACAATGTTATTTTTATTGTGTGCACATAGGAAAAAGAAAAAAATTGAATCATCTCAGTTTTCCTGAAAGAAAAGAACCTACAACAAAAGACAATGATGAGTAAGTTTGCTTTCAAAATCTTAGACACCTGTCTTGAAAGCTAAGGGTCATATTTGTTAAAGTAATAGTTTGAGTAATCATTTCTTGCAGAAATGTAGTATAGTGTATACACAAGTTGAATTATTCTTTCTTAAAGAAGTAAAACTATTTGTGGTGTGTTTCACAGTGCTCATATAATGATAGATGATGATGATGCCATCATTTTTATACTTATTGAACCCAGTACTCTCAGCCTATGCATAAGAGACCAGCTAGAGTAAAACTAGGGAAAATACTCTTTTCAGATTTACATGGGTGGAAAAGTAATATGCTGTCTGAGAATATAATGTCTAACAAATAGCAGGCTCAAGGCAGAGATAGGAACACAATGAAGCCAGCAGAGTAAGGGATCTTGAGGAACTGATGCTACATACCAGTAACCAAACATTTTCATACTGGCCTGCCACTGATGCTGTGGATGAAGATAACATCTACATACAGCAAGCAGCTGCTTTGTCTTCTGGAAAGAATATATCTGCCACTGAAGCTGGAAAATTAAATTAAGCAGAATAGGGGGTTAAATTTTAAAAGTAGTTCATATATTCAGCTCATTTACCCATTCAGTTGTATCTTCTGTGTGCTACACAGTATAAAGGAATGATAGAAGATGAAGAAAATGAAGTTTGTATAAGTAGAACTTAGGGTCTTATGTTGTAAATAAATATGCATTCCTCAGTTTAGAAATGGGCATGGGTTATGTTTCAAAATGTTTTTTAAATCATTTGAGTGGAACTCAATGTATTTTCCATGCCAATAGTGCTGTTGTAATTTGTAACTATAGTCCCAGATCAACATCACAAGTTTATTTTTCAATGATGTAGCTGAACTATAGTATTAATCAGGAATAGTCTGATTAAAAGCTGTGGAAAGAAGGTGCCATTTAGAGTTCAATAAGGACAAAAGGAAGAGTTTCTCAAAGAAATTTCTGTTTGACACTTTTTGTATTTATCACTGTACCACCTTTATCTATTTCTACTAGCTGCTTTTCCTACCATATGCTCTTCCTACTCCAAAAATATTTTCATGTACCCTACCCCATAAGTATTTTTGTTGTAAATTACTACTGCTTTTCTATAAACAAAATTCCCATTTTCTCAGTGAAACCAATTTCATTGAGATTATTAGTAGGAAAACATTCTTTTTTAATTTAACTCATTTAATATTAAAAAAATATATATATATATATACACACACACACCCACATATATATAAACTCAAAAATAAATACAGTGAAAGCAAATGGCAATTAACATTTCTTTTTAAGATTTAGTTATATTTATGCATACAAAAACTCAGGTATAGGCCAGAGGTGTGGCGGAGGTGAGAGGATTCAACAGAGACAGAGTAGGGAGCAAAACAGGCAGATCTACTGAAATACACTGCTGAGGGGAGCAGCAGGTGAGACGGGAGAGGTCTGTTGTACCATGTGGGTCAGCTCCCTGACCAGTAGTCTCACTCATGCCTTCATGGCTGGTAATGGCTTTATGGCACTGAGACTTTAACCCCTGGGCCACTGGGCAGCCCAAATAACAGTTTTTGAAGTTTATCTAATCTTATATTTGAAAGCAGAGATGATAAACGAAGTGAATTTCTGTTACAACTATGTAAAATATAACAAACTTATAAGTAGTCAATAAAGGAAGAGATGTTTCTGGACAAAAGTGATACTATGTAAGTAAGTCAACTTACCTTTTCCCTTTCTTCCAAACCCATCAATTTTCTTAGAGCTCCAGATTCTTTTAAGTACAACTCCCATAGCAGTGAGCTTTCAAGGAACAATGAAGGAACAAGACTTTTGTTATGTGTGACTGGGGGATTTGCCTAAATCTATTTAACATCTCTTAATGTTTGCTTCTAAAGATTCCTTTTAATTTTATCTATCACTCTATGACTTGATATTAGAATTAGTGAAATATAAGCCAAAGTATTTTACAGCATATAAAAATTATGCATTTCTTATTGTTTTCTTTCATTCATTATAGAAGTACTCATTGTAGTCAGAAAAGCAATTTTATTATTTTTATAATGGATTCTTTATTCCACTTGTGTGATTTGTTTTATTATTTTGTAAAACCACCCTAAAGACTTGGATTTTTAAAGTCCTAAATTAAACTGAAGGCTTCACCTTTTAGATCAAGTAATCATAATATTTTATGTTTTGTGTCAGCAATTATAAAGGTTTCTCCATATAAACCATCAATAACATATTTATATGTAATATACTAATGACACACTCATATAATAACTAATAAATGATTGGTTCAATAATCATTAATAATCAGTAATTGATTACTAGAAAATCATAGAGTGATTGACTATGAATAGTTGGTTAATGCAGTTGTGGAGACTAAGTTCCATTACCTGTCATATGTAAGTTGGAGACTCAGGAAGCCTGTGGTAGAATTCCAGTTCAAATCCAAAGCCTTACAACTAAGGGAGTCAGTGTTATAAGCCTAAGTTCAAGGGCCAGAGAAAAGCCATATTCCAGGCTCAATAGGCAAACAGGGAATGAACCCTTTACTTTTTGTCCTATATGGGCCTTCAACAGATTGGATAATGCTTAGCCACAGTGGAGAGGGCTTTCTAATTAAGTTTGGAGTTACATTTTATTTTTCCATATGTGCACATGTGGGGACAGCATTCTGATTTCAGTTATTGCTAAGATAGTTGCAGAGTTCCTTGCTCCATTATTCCTTCTATTAGTTGACCTTTTTAAAATTCATGAATTCATAGTGATATAGGGTTTTCCTTACCTTCCCCCTTTCTATATTTGTACCCCTTATCAAATAGTAGATTGCTGGCTTTAATCAGCAGCATTATATTTACACATTTGCTTCATCCTACAATGCATGTAGAATTCCTGAATCATAGCACTGTTAAAACAAACTTGCTAACCAATTAAGATTTGTTTGTAGACTTTTTGCTCTTTAATTTTAAGGTATATGATTAAATTACTATGTTCAAAGGAGTTGGATTAGTTCTTTGAAGTCTAAACATAACATTAAAATTATACTTTTTATTTAATTGAAAAATTAGCTATTACTTTGAAGTAGTTTCTTTTGTTTGTATTCTAATCAAAGCTTTATAAACAAGTATATAAAAGAAGTGGCATTCCTTACCCTGTGCCTTCTACCTACTCCCATGATTAACCAAATTCATTAGTTTACCTTTCCTGTTTGTTTTTATAAAAGTAAGCTGTTTTATTTTTCTTATTTATTTTCTTATACAAAGATGGCATACAATGTATGCTTATTTACACTTTCCTTTTTTCCCTTATGGATAAATGTTTTAGAATGTAGTTATTTTTAAATGTTTTAGATGTAGGAATTCTTCCAAAAGGAAAATACAGTTCCATGTTAGAGGTTAACAAATTTTTCCCCAGGAAACAAGCAGTTAGTGACATGTCAATAAAACTCATTTATAAACAAACACCTACACATTAATATTTTATGTGAACTTCCATATCCTTTATGCTCTGAAAGAAAAATACATTCTTTAATTCACTGCCATTGGTTTTTCTTCATCTTGGCAATTTGCAGCTGCTGCTATTAGCACTATTATGAATATGCAATAATAGTGACTACCTTCTATAAGGTATTTCATTAAACTTTATTTTCAGAAAATTGGAGACTCACTTGCCATTGTTAGGAGTATAACAGAGAATCATGTATTCTCTTTTCCATTTTACTCACATGATAACATCTTACAAAGCTATAATGCTTTATGAAAACCAAGAAATTTGCATTTACATAATTAATCTTTATTCAGTTCTACATATAGTTATTTGTATGTATGTGTGTTTAGTCTAATGTTGTTTATCATATGATTAGATTTACTATTCCAAGATATGGACTTGTTCAACCACCGCTTGAATAGGAGTCCTCCTATTCAAAACAGTTTATTTTTTTATTGACAGAAGCAGTAACTTTTTTACATGTTAATTTTTAATTTTTGTATTACTAATCTTTTTGTATTACTTCAAAAAGTTTTGAAAGTCATGTTAATATGACATGAGACAAGAAATTAATGTGGAAGAAATTAAAAGCATAATCAATGAATACATCCTTCCCAGTTTTGGGTGAGAGAACCCTGAATTTCTAACAGTGAGACTTGTCTAAACAAATTTGAAAAGGCAGCAAAAACCCTGAATTTGTCATATGGCTTTCTCAAGAGAAAATTCATAGTTAACATACCATAGGAATCTACCCTGAGCCCTGACAGTTGGACTAAAAAAATGTCAAGATTTGAAAAATGTTTTGGTGTACCAGACCAACTGAATCATAGTTTCTTTTAAAGTATTTTAGAGGACTAACTCAGACACTTGAAATACTAGATTCTGAAAAAACGATGATGCTGGATTTCTACTCTGCTGACAAAAAGGAGGACCAAGATTACAGCTATCTCTGAAATATGACTAATTAAAAATGAGATGTGCTGTGTATGTAAAGTACATGCTAGATTTTGGGGGGAAAACAAAATACCTAAATAAATTTTGTATTGGTTACATGTTGAAATAATACCTTGGATCTATTGGGTTAAAGAAAATATAGTATTAAAATTAAGTTCCCCTGTTTTTATTTTTATTTTTTTTTAAAGATTTTTATTTATTTATTCATACAGAACTGGGGTACAGGCCAGAGATGCGGAGGGTGAGAGGATTCACCAGAGACAGAGTGGGGAGCAGAACAGGCAGATCGACAAAGTACACTGCTGAGGGGAGCAGCGGGCGGGTCAGGAGAGGTCTGCCACTCCATGTGGTTGCCTCCGGGGCAGGCAGGAATCGAACTCATGCGGAGGAGGCTTTAGTTTCTCAGTGCAGTGCTTTAACCCGCTGCGCCACCAGGGATGGCCCCCCCTGTTTTTATTTTAATGGGCAAATTTTTAACTTATATATACATATATATGACTTAGATTATATTTCTGTTAGACCATGGTTGTATAGATTATCATATACAGTTATAAAAAACTTAAAATTGGAAATGAAGCTAAAATTGCAGTAATAAGGAAGTGATAAAATCATCTTTGTTTACTAGATAGGATATGTGCAGCCTTTTAAATTATAGACACATGGATGATGTGGCTATTACAAATACATACATATACATATGTACACACGTACATAAAGGAATGTGATTTAAAGTTATACATGTTTTTTTAAAAAAGCAAAAAAGAAAAATAATTTTAAAAACCTAAGAGAATTTTTCCTGATTGCTATTATGCTAACTAGAGGTATGTTTGGGAGGTGGAATTTTAAGTGATTTTAAGTGGAATTCCCCCTCCCCCCATTTTTTAAATTTAAGAGTGCCTTTGTTGCAAGAAACAAACAAACTAAACCAAAACAAACTTTAGAAATCTGACTTCAGAATTAAAACTGTGAGAGGAGATACTATGGGTAGGAAGCAATATGCGAGAGATCATTGATAACTTTGGTGGTGGGTATGGTATTGATACATTTGAAGAGGTATGAGACTCACTTCCAAATCATATACAGTGTTGTAAATCATAATTAACTCAATTAAAAATAATACAACTTTAGAAATACTCAATGAAGTACTACTTTGTTATATTTCAAAAGACAAACTTACATTTGAAACAACACAGATGAAACTTGAGATGATGCTAAGTGAAATAAGTCAGAAGGAGAAGGACAAATACTGAGTGGTGTCACTTATTTACGAAATACAGAGAAGTAAAACAAAGGGTCAGATAAAGCCAATCACAAGCTCTAGAAATCTGACTGTGGAATTGTGGCTAGTGAAGTGTAAGGGGAGAGGAAGAGGATAAAAGGGATGGGGACCAGAGCACATAGGGCCCCTGCTGGTGGGTGTGATGTGCTGACAATACTTGAAGAGGGAATCCTGTACTTCTAGATCATCATATACAGTGTTGTAAAACAGTGTTGCCTCAATAAAAAATGTTTGAGTGCCAAAAAAAAAAAAAAAAATGTTTGAGTGCCTTTTTATCTTTTTTATCCTTAAATATTTTAAAGCCATAAAACATTTTATTTTTGTTTAAAAATCAAATCACTAAGTAGCACTAACTCATAGATCTAGAAAGATCATGTTAAATAAGATGAAGGTACATTAGTGTTTTCATGGTGGTATTAAAGAGAAAGGATAGCAAGTCAATGTCTTTCCAATTTTCAGTGGGGCTGAAAGTAAGACTCTGGAAGATAGGGTGCTTGATTATATATATTGTTTGTAAAGGAATGAAAGAGTAAAGTAGTAATATTTGTATCTTTTGCCACGGCCCCTCTCTGGTGGCACAGTAGATTAAAGCCAGGCACTGTGAAGCTATCTGCAGTCACTGCAATACAAGTTCAATCCCTGACCAGGGAGGTGACCCACATGGCATGGCAGACCTCTCCTGTCCCACCTGCTGTTCTCCCCCCCACTCTGTCTCTGGTGAATCCTCTCACCCCCGCACCTCTGGCCTGTACCCCAGTTCTTGTATGGATAAATATATCTTTTGCCACATTGAAAATTGTGAAAGATTAGAAACAGTCTAAAATCCTTTAAAGAGAATTAAAGCTCTGAAAATAACTTGCCTTGTTTAAATGCTTTCTCTTGCTAAATATTCTTTCTTTGTCTATAGATTCTTGGTATTATTATCTAAAGTAGAGAAATCATCAGAAGAAGTAATGGAAATAATGCAAAATTTAAGCAGTATGCAGGTATATTTTGTTGGTTTTTTATTTTTTTATAGTAATTTTTCATACTTCTACTATCCTGTTTGAAAAGTGGAGAAGTCCCAGATTTGTAGTCAGCTCAAGAGTTTACAGACAATAGGTTTAATTTAGTTTTCATGGGAATTCCTTGTTGTATGAACATCAGTTAAACATAATGTTTTATATCATCTGACTTTTTCACATTTAAACATTTTTTGGTTTTATTTAGTCTTTCAGTTAATAAATTATTTTAATTTGGGCATTTTTAAGGTTTACAATAATTATCCTGCAAAACAAAGTTTTATTTTCTAATATAGAGTTTGAATTTTTCAGATGAAGGAAATGTGGACTTGTCAGTAACACTCATATTTGTAGACAGATACTAACTCATTTATGAATTTCTTTTAGGCTTTGGAGGGCAGTAGAGAGCTTGAAAATCTCATTGGTTTCTTCCATGCACCACGATTCTTAAAAAGAGAAATGCAGAAAACAAAAGAACTAAGTAAGAAAAACTCATGAATTTTCACTATTGTCTCTCTACTCCTTGTTTGCATATTTAGATGTGTAGTTTAATATTTTTAATTTTAAACATTTAAACTATTTTCCTCCCAGTTTAATTTAGTAGACTTGTTAATGTATGCCACTACTGGGCATGTGATAGAAATATTATTTAAAGATGTAAAAAGCCATATATTCTTTATTCAGAACATGCTCTTTCAGGGATTCTTGAATGTGAAGGTAAAGAATGGACCATGGAAACTGGCATTAGGTTTTGTCAGTGTTGTGCTCATTTAAAAATAAAAATTACTGTATTTTGTACTTAAAACCTATAAATATATTCGTTAGTTTTTCTCATGAGGTTGTTATTCCAGAAAGAGAAGTGATTCAGAGTTCATGTATTATTAACATGAGTTTTTTTTTGTTTTTTTTTTTTAAGTGAGAAAAGTAATCAAAGAAAAACTTTTTGAAAAGAGTCCAGAACTTCCTAACAAAGGTAGGGTTGTGTTTTAGTTATGTGAGGAGGTCCTTTCATATCATTTCACCACTTAAAACTATTCACCATGAATCCTTTTTTTAGTACAGAGAAAGCTCTTCTTTTAAAAGACCATGGGCCTCATTTGCAAAATTTTATATCACAAGGAAATACTGTATAGTTTTTATTTTATTTTATTTTATTTTACTTTACATTTTTAAAGGACAAGTTCATTAGAAAAAAAGAAAAAGAGAGGCATTGTCACACATGATCAGGAGAGCTGCCTTTCCTGTTTTGCAAAATGAACTGGTTTGTGGAAAGAGTGATTTTTATCTTTGAAATCAAGAGACACTTTGTTTATGGGTTGCACATGTCTATTGGAGTAAAGATATCTGCATGATCCTACTCCTTAGTAATTCGGAGCTAACTATCAGCTTCTGATTGGAATTTGAGAAAATGAAAACCTTTCTAAAACAGGTGAAAGTTCCCTGACCATTCAGGGTCCTCCTGGCCCAAAGGAGGAGGGAAGGAAGCATGGAAGGAGAGAAATAAATCTTGTATTGCTTTTAATAGATGATCATGTCTGGTGAGATCAACTTCCATGATTATACTATTAAAATATCTTTGAAATACATTTTCAGTTTAAGATTTAAATTTTGTCTTTTTATTCAAAGTTCTTTTGATACTACAAATAGGGGCAACAATGTATTCGCAAATGACAGCTTTAATGGTGCATTAGGATAAACAAAGCTTAACATGTTACTCTGTAACTGGTACCCTGAAAACTTTCAGATCATTAATGATATTTGATCTACTGTAAACTCTGAGTATTATGTCTGAGTATTTCACAGTATGGGAAACTAAATTGGCTAAAATAGTCAAACCAAACCAATAATTAGTATGTTTCCATATTGGAATCAGTAGATCATTACAGCAGCTTGCAAAACAGCTATTATTATCATCTTTATAGATAAGGAACAAAGATTTTAACACACAAAATGTTAATTAACTTGTTCACAAGTATTGCTTACTTAAAGGTGCAACTAAATACCTATCTTAAAAACTGTTATTTCTCCATTATTCCATGCTTCCTCTTCCAAAAAAACTAAAATCATCTAGTTATCCCAGACATTAAGCATAACTGAAAGTGGTTCAGGCAGTCTAGGCTATTAGACTGGGCATAGGATCTTTACTATACCAGCAATGACTTTGCAGGGAAAAGCACTGGGGTTCCCTGCTGGTCAGTTCCTGAGGCCAGCTGGGTCATGGCAAGCCCCTGCAAGGCTCATGTGGGAAGGGAGTTGAACATGCTTTCTGAGCCTTTCAGCTGAGCAGCTACTTCTGTCTCTCTTGTAATTTAAAAATATGAAAGTTAAATCTTTCTTTGAAAGACTTGAGATACTTTGTGACTAAGTTTCAGTCTCTCCTAATATGGCAAGTTTTTGAGAATTATGAAGGGAAATTGGAATGCTTATCTCTTGACTAGAAGTCTTTCTGTGCCAATAGTGTGACATTTAAAAAACATGTAATTTTATAGAACTAATAATCATATGTAGTTGTCATTTGACAAGTTTGAGAAATGAAGTGACAATTACAGAATAATTTATAAATTATATTATTTACTTATGAATTATATAATCTGATTATAGAATTATTAATGCTAATTATTAATGGGGAAATTTTCCAAAAGTATAATTTCCTTCCCAAAATATTAAGACATTAAAAGGCTATATTCCATGTGTTGAACCAGTTATATACCCTTTTAGTTATCCAGTGTAGACCAATTATCTATGTTTGTACATGATAAGCCTTCAAACTATTTTGTAATATTTTAGACATTAAAACTGATTTGCCCATTATCATGTTTTCCCTAAGAACTGAGTATTTATTCAGGAACAGAGGAAATTGTATTATTAAATTGTTTCAAAATTTCTAATAAGCACTGATTGTTCCTTATGGTGTAAATGAAAACTGAGTTATGATATATAAAATGTACCTAGTAATATATAACTAGGTTGTATTAATATATGTATTAATATATAACATGTCATGTTATATATTAATAGATAATATATATTTTAGAAGGTCATTTTCTATTTCTGTTTCTTGGCAAGAGCTGCCTTGGCTCTTTATATTCCTTAGGTAGTAAAGCTATCATTAGCTTTTCAGCAATTCTTAAACATAATGCCTGAAAAAATGATTGAAGCTTATTTTCCTTATAATTTGAGGTTGAGTTATATATTTTTATATAGATGTGTTTTAATTTAAAAAAGGGCTTTCCCTCCTTTTTCTCTGGTTCTTGCTTGGAAAAGATGATGCCTACCGACACATGTAAATTGTTTTGCTAAGTTACTTTCTCTCCATTGTATACATACATCCATTTTAAGAGGACTTTGCTACATTTTTGATATCTCAAACTAATATGCTTTCCATGTTCATTACTTGGGGACCTAACCTTTAGTTATTCATAGAGTTTTCTTTCTTTTTTTTTTTTAGAGCTCTAGTGTTCTTGCTTATTTTTTTCTCATTGATCTAACCATTAGTAAGAGAGGTGTGTTGAAGTGTTACACTACATATGTATTTTCTATAATATTTGTTTTCAGAGATAGTATTTAAAGAGTTTTCTTTAGTACTCTTTTTTCTTTTACTGATCTATTACCCAGAGTTGTTTAAATTTTAAAATGTTTTGGGAATTTTCATGTTAGAAATTATATAGCTAGAAATCAAATATAAAATTTAGCCCCTTAAGTATTGAATTTATTAAATAATTATGAAAATGAGAGTAAACAATTTGATTCAGTGTCAAAAGAATATCCCTCTGATTCTTTTTTCTTCAGATTCTTATAAAATTTTCCTAGGATAGGTGAAAGGAGACTAAACAACTTTTATGCTGTCATTGCCCTTTCAAATCAATTCTTTGGTTCTATGCAGTTTTTTACTTCAGTGCTAGCTTGTTTAATCTCATTTTCAGTTTTTATTATAGACAGTGGAGTGTAATTGCTAAGTTTTAAATAGACATCTGACACATTAAGATTTTATAGAACTCACTCAAGAGAAATTTAAAACATGTACAATAACATGAAAATGTACACTGAGGTTTAAGATTCTCAGAAGAACTGGACCTTTAAATCAAAACTTCTTGATAGGGCTTATGGATAAAAAAGGATCTCTTTTGCTAACTGCAAATTTCTTAAATAAAGAAAGGCTTCTTTTCTTTTTCCAGTTACTTAGGGTATAAGCCTAACTTCACTTTCCTTAATAATATTGGCTTTATGACTATTAGAAAAATAATGAAATGAAAGGTTCTTTTTCTGTTAGATTTGAATGTGAATTTTCATTATTATTTTTAATTTGTTATGCTGAAAATTCAAAACATATGACCATTCAATGAGTTGATACAGATGGAATGTCACATTATCATCACATGGTAAAGCATGAAATTATTTACTTTACATAATCAACCTCTACTTAAAACAACTTGGTACAAATATGCCTAAGTCAATAGGCGGCATTATATAGTACTTACTATTTTCATTTTTTACAGAGAATTAGAAAATGCCATCATTGTTGGTCTATGACTAGAACTTCCAGTAAACAAAATGTTTTTGAAAAGAATGTAAGCAAATTGTAGAGCAGTTGCCAAGATAAGAAATCTAGACACTTAGCTTTAGTCCAAAACATATTATATCTGTCTTGAGAATAATTGTGTAGGTTGCAGTATGCATATTTTAAATGAAATGCAGCCATCTGAATTTCACATTGTTCAAAAAGGTTAACTGTTTCAATTGTTTATAATTCAAAATATTTTGGAATTTCTAGCTCTGACCTTAAAAAACACAAACTATGTTTCTGATTACTTAACCAATTTACTGTGTTCTTAGATTGTAAGCTTCATATTAGTTACTGGATTTTGAAGTTTTCAAATCTTTGAACTACAAGATAAATTTTAAATTCCTCCTGTTCTATGGCTGAAATAGTTTGATATATCTTTTCACTCTAACTGCCCACTGAAGTTATCTTCTGAACTTAAAAGTATATTGTTCTTTATCCCCACTTTATGTTGAAACAAGTCCTTATACTTTAATATTCTTGGATTATGTGGAAATTGAAAATGAAGATACTAGTTTTGGTGACACAAACAGACATTAGTAGACAACTTGTTCTCCTAGGTCTTCATAAGGATGCAGCTGTCATTTATGCTGTGCTATGTGGGCCATACTTTTCCTTTAATAATGTTAATGCTCTTGTTTTACACTAGTCATCACTGTTTGGGAGATACATTACAACTGCTTACTTGAAATTTTTCTAGGATTTAAGGAAAAACAAGCTGTTTTATTTCAGTCTTCTATTAGAATTAAATATATTTATACTTAACTAGAAATGATAATTTTTCTTTTAAATCATTAAAAAAATTAAACCATAGATTTGTATTTAATAGCAATTATAGGTTTAAAAGGTATAAATAACTTTCTATCAGACATTACAAATATCCAGGTGCTCTGTATGTGCTGATGACAACAAAATTGAAACGAAAGACTGTAATAATTCTGACTGGTTTTCTCTGCAGAAGATATTGATTATTTGTGTGTGGTGAGAGATTTGGAAAATTCAATTAAAGGAGTTGTGCAAAGGTTTCATAAATTTTCCTTCTACAGCATGTACACAGACATTGTTGCGTATTAAATCAATGCAGCACTTCACAATATATTTTCTTTGAAACATAAAAATAAATAACATTTAAACAGTTCTGCTTACTACAGAAACAAATTTTATTTTCTGTGAAGCATTTAGTCATGTGCTATCACTGACTCATACACATTTGCCAGCTGTAACAAATTTTATAGACATTTTCTCCAGAGACATATCTCACATACTATGAATTTTTAAATGAGCAAATGGTGAAGAAGGGATGTCAGCAATATAAAAATTGATCAGTTAAAAGATAAAAGCATAAGTAAAGAGATTTGTATGGTAGTCTTAATAGGTTTTATTAAATAAAAATACTATAAAAAGACAGTAATGAATAGACTGAAGACTTAACTGTTCTTGAGGTGGAGAAAAAATATTCTGGCACATTAAGTAGAAATTGGTTTTGCGCTACCTGACAGGTGAACAATTTTTTCTATTTAACTCTTAGAGTAATCAGTAAAACCCCTCAAAATAGAGACAGATAAATCCTTTATGTAAGTGGTTTAGATATGTTAAGTATATACATGTAATAATAAAGCAGGGATTTTTAATGTTTACATAACTAATTATAGTTAAAAGCAGAACATGTATAATAAGTTAATAAGATGATTTTCTTCACAGCCCTCAGCTACGAAGCAAGTAGTTATTTTAACTCATCTTCCACACCATATGCCTCAGCCCTGTGGAATCTCTCAGGACTCCAGACCTCTGTACTTTTTTTCTCTCTCCCTGGATTGCACTTTCTCCTACTCTGTCTAGCAAATACTTGCTCATTCTATAAGATCAGCTTCAGATATCATATTCTCTGTAAAACAGTCCCCAGTTTGCCTAGGTAGAGATAAATTGCTCTATCTCCTAGGCTTCTGCAACACTTGTCTGAATGTTTATGAATGTATCTTGTAATATGGTGGATGTTACAATTATCTGGATTCAGGACTCTTTCTGGCCGGAGCAGTCTTTCTATATTGTAGCCCCAGAATCTAGTACAAACCCTGGATATAAGATTCATAATGCACATTCAACAAATGAATGAAAACAAATGGACATTTTAAGAATTTCTTAAAGGAATTATCTAAATATATTCAAATACACATAAATTTCTATCTCCTCATTTGCCTCATTCATTTACTATTTATTGAATTTGACCTTGAACCAGGCAATGTTCTAACATTCTAAATATACTAGTGAACAAAACTAATGAAAATCATCTTATTTACTTGTTATACATATTCTGCTTTTAACTATAATTAATTATATAAACATTAAAAATCTCTGCTTTTTATTACATGTATACACTTAACATATCTAAAGACATAGTCGTACCCTCAAGATTACAGAATCTAGCACAAAGGACAATATATTAAAGCATAGCATATTATAATTATAAATTCCTGGTTTATTTTTTGTGCTACAATTTAAAATATATATTCTGAAACAAAATAAGGCAACCAATAGGATGTTTTTTGTTTGTTTGTTTGTTTTTAAAGATTTATTTATTTGTGCATACAGAACTGGGGTACAGGCCAGAGGCTCAGGGGCGGCGAGAGGCTTCACCAGAGACAGAGTGGGGAGCAGAACAGGCAGATCGACGAAGTACCCCGCCGAGGGGAGCAGCGGGGGGTCAGGAGAAGTCTGTCACGCCATGTGGTCACCTCCGGTGCCGGCGGGAATCGAACTCATGCGGTGCTTTAACCCGCTGTGCCACCGGGGAGGGCCCACCAATAGGTTGTTAAAGAAAGAATTTTTAGCCCCAAATATATTATTTATAAGATAAAATATTATATTAGTATTCTTTATTTTCATTTCCTTTTGATCCAGTCTTTATTTTGCCTCATGACTCTGGCAAGTTACTGAGCTGTTTTCTGAAAATAAATCTTTTTTCTTTCATATAGAATTATGTCATCTTGACAGCTATGAATTTCTCAAAGCCATCTTAAACTAAGGTACTGTTTCACCTTTCTAATTAAGTCTAGCTTTGTTAAATTTCAGTATTTTGTTTAGTTGGAAATTTTACATACACTATCAGATTTGGTACTGTCTGTAAAGAAAATAGGAATATGTGCTTTAGAGCTTTCATTGAACTTATATTTAATACATTCTTATAGACAATAGAAGAGCAGTCTGACAAGATGTTAAGTTATACACTGATTGAAAAAGAACACTGGAACCAGCTGACCAGGCTAGCTTTAAAAGACAGATCACATCACCTGCACTATTTTATTTCTTCATTACCTCTGATCTAGATTATCATCATTCCTTTTATAACCTATGTCTGCTTTGTGGTCCGTTGGCCCAATAACCTGTCCTGCTACTGCTTTAAAAAATATTATTTACCATATTCAAAGTAAAACCCCAATTTATAGTGATATGCAGAATTCTCTTACATGGCCACAGCTTACTTTTCCTGTTTCTCCTGTACCTCATTCACTCCAGATTACTTACCATTCTCCAGACACATTCCTTAGAAAGTGCTTCCTTTTCCCCTGACCTCTGCTCTTCTCTTCTTTGCATGGCATACCTTTTCTCCCATCCTCAAAATATCACCAATCTTTCAAAACTTGCACGAGGTTCATCTGATACTAGGTTGCCTCACATCTCTCTATTCCATATCCTTTCATTGCTTTTCTTTTGTGTCACAGTTACCCAACTGATAGAAGTAAAGGAAGGTATTACACCTCCTGAGTTTATTCCCTAGGAACTTCTAAAATTCATAGTACTCCTGATACCACTGTGGCCAACTTCCTGTTTGCATACCAGTTTCTGCACTCTCTCACACTTCAGGGATTATGCCTTCTGTCCCATGTGTGTGGGAAAGTGGGAACCACCCCATAAAAATTTATTTGCTTTAAAAAGCAATAAGCCTTTATAAAACAATGCGAAAGTAGAGGACAGCAACCTATATGCCACAGGTAGTACTAAAGTCAAATAAATGTGTTTAGGAGAAGTAATATGTTTAGGAGAATAATGCTCTTAGCTAGTGTTAACAGAGGTACAGTGATGACTTTGTGAAGATACAACTTGGATAAATCATTTGGTAAATTAAAGTATGAAGCTTCATATAAACAAAGCACTATGCATAATGTCAACCTTTTGTAACCTAGTTATCTAATTAAGGACACAATATTTATATATTATAAACAATATAAGAATAAGCAGTAATACAGGAATACACAGAGACATAGATTTCCTCAGGGTAGAGTGATTAGGTCATTTTTAAAGGATCATGATTTTTAAGTTAGTTCCACATTCTCTGTATTATCTTGGATCAAGGGCCACCAAAACCCTAGGAATGGAAACATTGTACTTTACTAGGAAGCTGGAATTGAAAATGGGTAATTTTGATAATCTGTGGACACCTAGGCACAAAACAACTTGAATAGAAAAGGCAGAATAACAACAGTGGAAAGTTAGATTCAGGTCACGTCACTGACAGGATCAGCATGCTAATAAGTCAGACAATTCATTAGACAAAAGGGGATCAATGAAGATTAGATAAGTAACAATACAAAATATGTTTTAGAGAAGATGTAATTGTTATATCAAGAATGAATCCTGTCAATATATAACACTTATGAACTACATCACTAAATCTAAATTATTTTTGTGTTCTGAGATAACTCATCTCTAGAGCCAATAGAGCAGTGCAGAAATAAACATGCCACCACTCCCAACTTTTGGGCTGTGACATTCACATGGATCAAAATATTTTGCTGAACCCTAAAACTGACATCAGTGTTTTCCAACACAGTTTTAGTAGCCATCACTAGATGATGAAAATTCTTTGCTAAAATTTGATTGGCTATCCAACACTAACTCTACTACCTACTTAGCTGTGTGACCTCAAACAAGGATTGATAAAATTTATCTTGTGGGATAGTATACAAAATATTTAGTTAAATTAGTTAATAGTTTAATTAGTACCTCCCCCATTGTAACTGTTTAATAATAGTATTATCATTTCCTTTCCTTTATAGTATTATCATTAGTTCTGAAAACCTGTAAAGACAATAAAAGTGCTTAAAAACCACAGGAATTCAGACCAGACTCAAACAAGGCTTTGGCAAAAGTTGCTTGTCAAGTTGGCAACCTGTCCTCTTATAGGTGGGTGGATTCTGGCAAATTGGTACAGAGGATTTTGTTAATTCTTCACAGCTGCTGATATAACAAGGAAGGGGTACTTAAGAAATGAAGAGTTCACATGCTCTGTGGGAATATATGCCAGCAGTGCTAGTAAGTGACTGCCTTCTTCAGAGAAAGCACTAAAGGGCCAAACAGACAAGCACGTCTGCCACCACTAGGAGTCCCCAGAGGGACATAACCTGAACAGGAATGTCAGCAAATACTGTCTTTTTTGGGGGGGCAGCTGTTGGAGAAAACACCTGCTAAAAGGCCTTAAGGCTTATATAGACAAAGGCATGTAGATTCTGTGATTTCAGTAAGTTGTTTTGAAGTCTTAGAACTTTCTCAGATGTGCCTCAAGAGCCATCTTCATAGTCTGAAGCATGCTATGGAAAAATATTCATATCGACAGTTTTTGCTAATGAACCTCACTTAAGGCTCAAAATTAAGCAATCGAGAAATCACCAGTCTAAACTAGGTACCAAATTAGATAGTAGATGGTATTTAAGTCATTTCCTAAGTCACATATATGCTGAGTATTAATTTGAAAACTAATCTTAATAATCATCTTTTATATTCCACAGGCGTTTAGAAGAAATGCATTCACTATGAACACCAACTTCTGCATCTGCCTGATCATATTTAAGGGAACAGAAGAAATGTTTGTAATTAATCTGCCCAGTAAATACCAGTTCATAGCACTAGGCCAGGTGCTTGACTAGATAAAATTTCTTGCAGCTAATTTAAACTTTCTGCACACACCAGTAGATAATCTCAATGTAAATAATACATTTCTTCTTGACCCTTTAAGCAAGCATGTGGAAGAGAATCTTGACTTGAATATTCTGCTGTATCCTGAATACTTCTGTATACTTGTAGGATCTACAGATACTTATTAATAAAACATTTATGAAAATGGCACCTCTGGTAGAGGTATATTTTAAAACTCAGACTAAATTTCATGGTGAGTTTAATTAGGTACCAGTTTTCCCACTTAAAGTCTCAGATATGTTGGTCTTAACAAAAAAGAGCTACTGTTTCAGAGATGAGTTTTTATATCGCTTTATTCCCATGTTCATATAGAAAAATACTTTGTTTTAAAAATTTCACACGTTTATAAAACATTGGAGTCCATTTTTCAGTACCTTTAAACGTGATGTTGTTTTTAAATTGAGCTAAGCAGACTACTGTATTTAAAGAAAAGGCCTTTCATTTTGGTCAGTTTGTGATCCCCTCCAATTATTTTGAAGCATTAGTTGCTATTTTTCTATGGTGTTTATATCAGCATGTATTCTATCACAAAACAAAGGTGAAAGGGAATCACAAAATGTTTTATAATTTGATAACATATTATTTAAACATTTCTACTTTATATTTTACCATTTCCACAGGTAGGTAAATGCTGTCCCATACTTAGGTATTTGCCTTAAGTCTTGACAAAATTAGACACCGTGTCATCTAATCCTGTGTATCATGAAAATAAAAATATTGTGTAAAAATCTAAACAAAATTTAACAAATTAAAATTGAAGATAACTAATAACCCATTAGAAAAATGTCAGTTACCTCTTAAGACAGAAATGAATTACTGATAAAAGATTATTTTAAAAAAAGACTATTTAAATGCTTCAAAATTTAAATGACAGGTACTAAACAACAACCAAATTATCAAGCCTAGTTGACTTTACTAATGATTTATTAGTACTATTTAAGATTTTTAAGATAATCTATCTGTTAAATATTAAGAACAGTGGATAGTCCTTACAAAAAGTATAATTCCTTGGTGTCCTATCATTGAATACTGAGCTTAGGATATGACAAAACATATAAAGAAAACTATGTTAGTAGGAAAACAAAGGGTTAACAAGTAGATTGGTTTCACATGTAATCCAAGTTATGTAGGTATGTGTTTAATGCTATTAAATCGGTTAGTGTATGTTTGACCTTTTGGTATACTAAGCTTTTGCCTTTCAGAACAGCTGGGTCGGCTAAGAATCATTTCCCAGTTCTCTTCATTGTAGATCAGATGACTCTCGCTTTATCACCCCTGGAGGCCATATGAAGGACAAAGCAGGAAGATCCACACACAAAACTAATGTTTATATGGGGGGGAGGGGGAGGCCCAGAAGGAGGGGCTGGTAAGATACACTTGGCCCTGATCTTCCAATGAACATAACAGAAGAGAGACCAATTGAGACTTAAAACCTTTGTGTTACTCCAACCATTATTCAGTTACATCCTATCCATCTCTACTACTCTTTCTATTGAACAGAGAAGCTTCTTTGGCTGCCCTGACTTTTGTAAATGTTTCACTCACTTAGTTGTGGTTTATCATTTGGACAGAATGCTACATCGGGGATTTTTCTCCCCTCCTTAAGGCCTCAAAGGAAAATGACTTCTGTATGCTTCTTATTTGATACATTTGATACACCCCTATTCTCTTCATTTTAAGAAACAAACGTACGTTTATTGGCAGTAGAGAAAACTGCATTTCTCAGAAACATACTTCCCTCTAAAATAAAAATGTTAGAAGTTAGTTGATAGGTATATTAGTGAAGAAAATGAAGTCTTTAATAGTGTTGCACAACCTATCTTTATGTTAAGACATTCCTAGAATCCTGAGTTTGAGAGAAGTGGTCTGAAATTGCCTATTTCTGTGACTCTAACTCATCATTGGACATCTTGAGTATTTTGAAACCTAATTCCTCAAAGTTCCAACTGGATTTACAAGTTTACATAAAAGCTATGACTTAATTCAATGCAGTTAGAATAAGTCGTGTGGAAAATGTTTTGTTTGCAGAATTTGCCTTTAAGACCTTGAATGTGGGTGCATTTTATTGTACTAATGTCTATAAAATGTTTGTTTTCAAGTAATGCTTCTCCATTCCATTTATTTAGCAGTTAAAACTTCCTCATCATCAACTTAAAATAACAAACTATGTTAAAACACAAGTATGCTATTACAAAAAAAATAAATAAAAACTATACCAGGCAGCCAAGATGCTGACATTTGGGCACGTTGATTACAGATGGTGACCATGGACAGCAATGTTCCTGCTGATTCGGCAGCCATTCAAGGCTGCTTTTCTCAGCTGACCTGCCCTTTGAGTCTATGCACATTTGCTTTGAGAATGAAATACTTCTTGATTTTTGCTTTGTCTAAATCTACTTCTTGTATCAGACTTAGATATACCTTCTTGCATGAGCCTGTGGCTGTTCATGTCTAGAACCAAATTTGTTTATGTGTGTGTATGTATTTGGCTTGCACTGTAGCTTATTTAAGATAAATTACGGGGCCCTCCCTGGTGGCACAATGGTTTAAAGCAGAGCATTATGAGGCTCTCCGCAGCCACTGCAGCACAAGTTGGATCCCCAGACAGGGAGTTAACCCACAAAGAGTGACAGATCTCTCCTGACCCACCCACACTCCCCTCAGCAGTGCTTTTTATTCCATCTGCCTGTTCTTCTCCCCTCTCTGTCTCTGGTGAATCTTCTTACCCCACACCCTGCATCTCTGAACTGTACCCCAGTTTTTGTATGCATAAGTAAATAAATCCTTAAAAAATTAACTACCATTTACTTAATATACTTTAATGGCTATCTTATAAAAAAACATTAAAGTACAAGTTGATAGGCAAATTGCTTTATTTTTATCAGCATCTAAAAACACATCTTCACATGAGAAACTAATGTATATAAATTTTACATTATTTTTACTAACTGAAAGCTAAAGAGAGGCTTTTGCTAATAAAAGAATAATACACAAGGCCAAGTTAACAAGAAGCATAATATGAATCACTGCTTAGGGCAGTGATAACTTTGAACCATGTTATAACAAAAGAGAACAGATGTATGAAGTCCTGTATATGGTCATTTAACTGAAGAATGATCCTGGAAGTTTAAAACCTAGTGGTCATAAGCAAAAAAAAGGCTTCACTAAATCACTTAGATTTAAAATGAAAAAAGTTTATTGTTTTAATTACAGTCAAGTAAATCAACATTCATGGCAATAAATAATAACATGGTTTAATATCACTGCCCTGTTAAAAAATTCAAATTTGCACATATAAAAAGGCATTTTAAATTCCTCACAATAATTAAAAAGATAACTACAAATTCAATCCCTGAGATATAATTTCTAAAATGAATTACATATTTGTTGTCTTCTAAAGGGTAAGGAAAACTAAATTTAAATACCAAAATTATTGATTTCCTTTAAAGAGTGACTAGTATATTAACTCACTGTATTTGTAGGTTTTTCTTCAAGGCAGTAAATCCAAGAACATTTCCTAAGTAAACATGAGGATTAAGGGAATTTTTCTTTTATTTTCCCACTTGAATAATCATAAAACTACAATATATCTTGGCTACATAATAATCAGAAAAAAGCCTCCATTGGGCTTTGGTTACTACATACATTTGTGTAAACATCAATGACTTTTCAACATTTCCTATAATTCCATTATTCTCAAAGTAATAATAGATTTATATATAGCAAATAGCAAAAAGTTCACAAAAACTTTTTGCAGTTAACATTTTCACATTTGCTTACAGATACAGCTACCTGATTTTCTTCTGATTTTTTCTACTTTTGTAATCCCACATGATTACAATGTTAAAGTATACCAAGAAGAACAGGAAATTCAAACAGGATACAAAACATACCAACACAGAAAATAAGTCTGGTAATTTTTGAGGAGGATCCACTGAGACAGTTACCAGCGTCAGAAGCACCATAGTGATCACTGAGATAAGAAACTATGAGGAGGAGAAAATAGTATTATTGAATTTATAAAAGAGAAAATATAAATGTACTAATGACACTAATTTTTAGCTGTTAATGAGCAGAACTGAAGTCCAAACTCTCAGGAGTCCAAACTCTCCCTCTGGTGGCTCTCAACCTAGGCTGCATATTAGAATGATCTGGGGGGTGTTCAAGACTCTCAAAGCCAAGGTCACACCCCAAATCAATTAAATCAGAGTTGCTGGGGTAGACCATAGCTTGTCAAGTGAGTTCCATTATATTTTGCTAAAGTCTGAGAACCTGATTCAAATCAACCACTGAAGAAAGGCATCTGTAATAGATAGTATTGCTAGTCAGGGTTAAACTGAATATATCCTCCAGAATTCTGGGTCTTTATAAGATATAAAGAAAATCTAAGCTAATCTAAGAATACATCTATGAAAATTTTTTTGATGGAAAATTACATTTCTTGTTCGCTGAACAGTTTCAAGGAGCTAATGCTATATAGTTAAGCACAGTGGGGAATGTGAAAGAAAATAGTCTTCTGACCTCAAAGAGAATTTCTAAGTTTAATTAGGGGAATGTATGAACTAGTTACATGAAATCAAAAACTCAGGTTTGCCAGGGTGACTGCACACAAGGCTGATTAAAGACAATTTATGAAATGAGTAACTGAAGGCAATGATAAGCCCTATCTTTCTGCCCACACCCCAGCAGCTCTCCAGGAACTTTATGCTGAGCAAAATTAACAAAGCAACCTGGATAGGTATGAAAAATAAAACACTGAAATCAGAAGAGAAATAGAAGTTGAGCCCGTTTTGCTAGTCAGGAAGTTGCCCCACAACTTAAAAAGGAAGTAATTGTAGCTGCTAGAAAAGGTGCATAAATGCATGTGTGAGCACCCCCAGTGTTAACAGAAACAACTACATAAAGACTTTTCTATATGTACTTTTGAATGTGACAGAAGATTTGCCATATATGAAGAGTTTATCGTCTATGATTATAGTAACCCGTTGGGTTTACCTGAAAAAATTGCCACACAGAGTTTTAACATTATCCTAGCTAATCCCCTCTATTTTTCTAAGGAATGCCTCAGGAAAACATCAGAAACCTTTAAGTTTCTGACAGCATATCTTCTGTGCACAGGTACAGTCAGGGAGGAAGAAACAACAAAACTTAAAGATTGCAATTTTATTCTAAAACACACCTGAACCGTGGCAAATGAGTTTTGCTGTTATATGAAATAGGAATCTGGGCTAGACTGTGATGTTTAGATGCAGACAGGAATTTAAGACAGTAAAAGACCTATTGTGACAGTTCCCTCTTGTTATTAGTTAAATCACATAATCTCTCCCCCTATCCCACAACTGAGGCTTTCAGTCCAATTTCCAAAACAAAACATAGTTTCTCATTATTTAAAAAAAAAAAAAAAAAAGTCCCAACACAGGTTAAAGCTCAACACCAAGAAGCTTGCCACAGCTGCTTCACTGCAAGTTTGATCCCCAGCCAGGGAGGTGACCCACATGGCATGGCGCAGCAGACCTCTCCTGACCAGCCTTCTGCTCCCTTCAGCAGTGTGCTTCATAAATCTGCCTGTTTTGCTCCCCACTCTGCCTCTGGTGAATCCTCTCACCACTCCTGCTCCTCTGGCTTGTACCCCAGTTTTGTATGCATAAATAATTTAAAAAAAAAAATCCCAGTCACATTTTATTATTGCCAAATTGAGTACATAGAAAAAATAATTACTGTGCTTATAGTAACTGTGTGGTAGCTTTCTACACCAATTCATTCAGTTGATTACTGTCTTGAGCATGAATCAACTAATTTGCAACAAAGGTTCCAATGTCTTTATTGCCACTGGAATGACAAAATGAAGTTGAACTACTACCTCACATGAGACATAAAAATTAACCCAAAATGAATCAATGACCTAAAGATAAGAACTCCTATGTTTTCTTCTAGGCTTTTTATATTTTTAGTTCTTAATTATCATAGTAGAGTAATATGTCCCATGTATATGAAATGTCCAGACAGCCAAAGCTATACAGGCAGAATTTACATAGACTGATGAATTGCTATGAAGGTTGGGGGTTAGGGTGAGAGTGGAATCAGTACAGGATTTCCTTTTGAAGTAATGGAAGTAAGCTAAAATGATACTGTGGTGATAATAGTACAATCTATATAAAATCAAAACTTTAAATGCATGAATACATGTGAATTATATCTCCAAAGAACTATAAAAGTAAAATAGTAAAATATTTTTAATTGTGCTAAGAAACATTACTTAAAAACTGAACAACTTACCAAATGTTGTATAATTTTAGGAAAAAATGTAAACCATGGAAGATATTTCCTAACAGAAACCGAAAAGGATTTCAACTGCAATTCTTCCTCAGAAATCTTTTCGAATATTGAAAAAGAAGTTGTACAAGCTATAAAAAATGCTATCACTGTCACAACTGAGGGCATAAAGAGTTTATCCTTCAACAGAAGAGGCAGCATACTAGAAAGGAAAACAGAAAAAACATCAAAAGAGAATTGATAGTGCAAACCATAATCACTTAGTAAAAAATTTTAAATGCATTTGTAAGAACTATAATGAAAATATTTTATGGAAATTGAACTCACCTAAATGTTGACACAAGTAAAAACCATGTAGACATAAAAGGAATTTCACTTAAAACTAAGCACACTGGTCTAAAAAGATAGAGAAAAAAATATTTTAATCTTATACAATATAATTTTGACTCAAAAAATATAGACACAGTTTACCTATTTGACTTTTGGGATACTTAACAAATAAAAAAACATATGGACTACAAATTCATTTTCTAAATAATCATGAATCCAGACTAAATTAATTAAAACAAAGAAAGGTGTAAATTATTCAAAATAACTGAAAAACTGTTTATTCCAGGATACCATTAATTTTTTTTAAGATTTATTTATTTATACAGAACTGGGGTACAGGCCAGAGGTGTGGAGGGTGAGAGGATTCACTAGGAACAGTGTGGGGAGCAGAACAGGCAGGTTGACAAAGTACACTGCTGAGGGGAGCAGGTCAAGAGAGGTCTGCCACAGCATGTGGATCTCCTCTGGGGCAGGTGGGGATTGAACTCATGAGGAAGTGGCTTAAACTTCTTAGTGCAGTGCTTTAATCCACTGCGCCACCAGGGAGGGCCAGGATACCATGAATTTAACATTTCTCTGGCACACAAACATAAGCTTAAGAAAAGCATAAGACATATCTGAATGTTCAGGAAAGAATGTGTTTATATAGTTCACCCCATCTCAGTTAGCAAATATGAAATAAATTATCAATATAGTAGTTTTCAGACTTCTTTTTATGATCCTTTATGTTATGTATCACTCAGCTAAGTTAAAAACTAAAGTTATCACAGAAAGGCTCATCTGTCACTGAAAAGGTGACAAAAGAGGCAAGAGTCATAAAGGAAAGAAGTTGATAATGGTGGAATAAAAAAAGAAAAAATAGTAGAAAGAGGAACCACTGTGGCCTCCTGTGTGGTACAGGGGTTAAAGTCTCAGAGCTATCAAGCTATCCAGCCACTGCATCACAAGTTCAATCCCCAGCCATAGAGCTGACGACCTCTGCTGTCTCACATGCTGCTCCCCTCAGCAGTGTACTTCAGTAGATCTGCCTGTTCTGCTTCCCACTATGTCCCTGGTGAATCCTCTCATTCCCCACACCTGTGGCCTACACCACAGTTCTTTTATAAATCTTAAAAAAAAAAAAAGGGGGGGGATTACAACTGACATGGAAAAAGGCACAAAATAATGTAAAAATAAACTATTGTATTATTTGGGGGAAAAAAAAAAGCTATATGAAAAGAGCAATCATAAAGGTCCAGGAAGGAAATGGTTGACTAGGTTGACTAAAGAGCTGAGGGTTGCTGGTCTTAATTCTATTCTTACCACCAGCCTGACTCTATCACCTTCTGAGTTCAGCTATGGCTCAAGTGGGGGGCAGGGGGGCGGGAGTGAGGGAGGAGGCTAGTCAGAAGACTAGAATCCTAGTCCATCTCTGTCTCTCACTGTATGACTCTGAACAGATTAACCTTTTTTCTATGGAAATAATATTGTATTGTAATCTTGTATTATGAAGCAGTTGAAAGATCTCTTTTACAAATATCACCTGAGCAAAGTCTCTTGGGAAATCTACTTTTTATTAGCATATAGAAGACATAGGAAGAAACAAAGAGAAATAAGAAGCATATCTGTAATAATTCTATAAATTGTTTTCAGTTAAAATACTATATTTTATGCAATTATATAATACTTATGTAGTTCGTTTTGCAGTTGGGTAGTCTTATATATAAGCAATAATTTCTATATTATAAACAGATAATCATAAAAATAAATATGTTTGAAACATTTTTACTTACAATGACACCAAGAGAATGGACTTCTCATGTACTTGGAAAGAAAACAAAAAGAAAGAGAGTGCACAGCACACCTTTAAGAAAAAAGGGAGGAAAATGAGCTATAACAACTTGTATAACAATAATTTAATAGCTTAATGTAGCTTTTATCTAGAGAGACTATACAGACACGCTAATACATATAGCATTTTATTCTAGTCTTTCACAATAAAAATACTGTTTAAAAAGCAGTGGTTATATGGCCCTCCCTGGGCACAGCAGGTTAAAGCACAGCACTGAGAATCTAAAGCCGCTTCCACATGAGTTCAATTCCCGCCTGCCCCGGAGGTGACCACATGGTGTAGCAGACCTCTCCTGACCCGCCCGCTGCTCCCCTCAGCAGTGTACTTAGTCGATCTGCCTGTTCTGCTCCCCACTCTGTCTGTGGTGAAGCCTTTCACCGCCCCTGAGCCTCTGGCCTGTACCCCAGTACTGTATGCACAAATAAATAAATCTTAAAAAAAAAAAAAGCAGTGGTTATAAAGGTACACTTTACACCCTAGAACAAGTTCACTGTGTCTCACTCTTACTTCACACTGCTACTTCAGTCCTGAGTCTTAACTGCAGATGCCAAATGTATTCCTGCCTTAAGGAAAAACCTGCTTTTTTATCAAGTCAAGCCAGATCATCTTGTGATTGACTTCTTCAACTTGACCATTCAGTTCCAGCCTCAAATGTCACTTTCCTAGAAAGTCCTTCCTTACTCAATCTAAAGCAGTGTCCCTTAACCACAATCCATCAGCACTAAATACTACCCAAATAAGTGAAATGTAAATTAAATGTAAATTGCTGCTATAGATATATCAGTATTCATACTAATTATACAATTATAGACTGATACTGAGAAATCATTTAATCTTGATGGGGAGGAAAACACTTGATAACAATTATAATGGCAAATGCCTTTAAAACAATGAGAAGCATTCAAATAGAATTCAAAATATCAACAAAATAAAATTTAAAAGCCATTAAGATAAGCCCTCTTTAGTTTTTTAAGCAATCATATTAAAGTACAGTAAACATTAAAATTAGGAAATTAAGACAAAGAAATTTTTTTCTGACTTATAAACCTAAAAGTAATCATTTCTAACCCTGTTACAGTTATCCAACTTGAAATCCCATTATCTCTGAAATATACCTTTATTTATAAGCTCTTTCCTGAAAATAATATTTAAAAAACCATAAGCTTATAAATATTTCAAGTTAGGTCTCTAGCTATCTCAGAACATTACTAACCATATTTCCCGGTTCTAAACATACAATAACATATTTATTAATCACAGATGACTTAGGACACTAAGTTTATTCAGAGTGGGGGTGGGGGTGGGGGAGAGAAATAGTAAAAGAATGCACATAAGGGGGCCTCCTTATGGTGGTGCAAGGGATTAAAGGGATCACAATGAAACTATCCACAGCCACTTCAGCAAAGTGTGATCCTGGTCAGGGAGCTGACCCACATGAACAGCAGATCTCTCCTCACCCATCCACCCATTGCTTCCCCTCAGCAAGGTATTTCAGTCAATCCACTGTTGTGCTTCTACTTTATCTGATAAATCCTCTCATACTCACACACCCCCACACACTTCTGACCGGCACCCAGTTCTTGGATGCATAAATGAAATAAGTCTTTCAGTGAAAGATATAAATTTCACTGTTTGTAAGCTTCCCAGAATATTCCCCCATCCTTTCCCACCTCTGCACTTCCAAGCTTGTCTTGACTTCTTATCTACTACATAGCCTCTTATTCCAAATCTTGACCAGCTTTCAAAATTTGGCTCCAATCCCTCTTGCTCCAAGAGACTGTCTAAAATCTGAACCACCAATAACATTTTCTCCCATTTTACCTGTATCTGATAGAACTTATACCAATCACTTTACAGCTTCATTACTTAAGCATATGTTTATTGCCACTTCTCTGTATTCCCTCATTAGGATTATAACACAAAATTGAAATTAAATAGCTGTTCATTTAAACTGAAAGATTCTGATTGTTGAGTCTAGGGTCTATGTATGTAGACACTCAATAAGTGTTCACCAAATAAAATGTCTTTTCCAGATAGGTCTTTTCAAGATCAAGATAATAATCTGTATTTTTAAGTCAATTTCAGCAAGAATTAAATATCTAAACTAATAAAAAAAAAAAAGCTTACCAGAGTAAATTTGAATCCTTTGAGAGAAGGCTGTAGTGTTAATTTTACACATGCAGGAAGCAGGCTCAAAAATGTAAAACAAAAGCTAAAAAATTAATAAAAATAAAGCATTTACTTTTTTGTAGTTATACAGCTAACACAAAGAAATTACTTATCAATTTATACTGATTTTAAAAGTTTATTTTATTTTTGAAATTTAAAATTAAGACCAAAAATATTCAAATAAAATACATAAGTTGAAATTAGTATACCTTGTAATAAATATATATGATTGTTTAATACAGAACATAAAACCTTGTAGTAATAAATGTTGCTTAAGTTATTCTAGTATTTAGTACTACTTATAGAAAAGATACAAAGACAGATAGCTAAAAGACAATTACCAAACACTAAATAAGAACACATCAGCAGGTATAAAAAGGTAATGCTGTATTTCTTTTTTTTTTCTTTTTGATAATGCTATATTTCTCTATGTTTATAACACAGTGATAAACTTCACTCATAAGAGAATCTCTGCCACCCTCATTACAAATGTTGATTATCTGATTTCCAGACCAGAGTAAACCAGAAAGAATAAGTTAGAAAGGGAGCAGAAAGCTACAAGTCTCTCCTAGTGATGGCTGATGAGCAAGGAAGAAAAAAAACTCAACAAGTTGAGCAGTCTAGACCATCTAGTGCCATGGCCAAACAGCCTTTGAAAGCCCTGACAACAAGTATTATAATGCAGTACAATAACTCAGCTTCCCACTTGTGGCTTTGTGGTGTTGCCTTGGCTAGGCTGAACACATTCCCTGAATTCTCTCTAGTATGCTTCCTGTTATAATAGGCTACAAGGGATTTTCTCAAAAAAGTCAGAGGAAGGCAGGCCCATTCTGTAGCCCCATTCACATACCCTCTTTCAGTTATCCATCTCTAATTTTGGTGCTACTGTGAAAATCTTGGCAAATGTAATAAAGTCCCTATTCAGTCAATTTTAAGCTAAGGAAAGGAGATTATCTTGGGCAGGCCTCACTTAATCAATTCAAAGTCTTTAGGCCTTGCCAAAGTGTAAGGACCCCAAACAGCAGCTGGTTCTGAATCCCTCTTCTTTCCCTTAGATAGTACTTCCCAAATGTCGGCCATGTGGACTTCAACTTGCTTAGGCAGCTGCCTCAACTTTATAAGTCAATTCCTCAAAATAAATTCTCTCTCCTTTTCCTCCCTACCTCTCCTGCACACACATAAAAACACTTAGAGTGATCACCTTCTTGGTCTACTTCCCTATATGAACCCTGATATATCCTGAAAACCATGACAGTTCAAGAGAATGTTAAATCATGTTCAGCATATACACTCTATTAAGGAGGAGAGAAATAAGTAATAAACCAGAGAAACTTCTAGATAAAACAGTCCAAATAAAATAATTTTGTTGAATAGAAGGATAGGTTTATGTTGCATGCAAAATTCACTAATAAAAAACACCTCATACTGTAATGATACCAGACAAATGAGATATTAACAAAACACTTTTAGACAGTAGTTTATGAAACACACTTTGTATCTCTTACCTGATTATTATCTGGATGTGCTGTGGCAAAATATCCTTGATCTTAAGAAAGATACTGAAGCTACACCAGATATTAGCTACTTTATCCTAAAGGGAAGAGATTTATTTGTTTTATACTCTGGCTTAATTGATTACAATATTAAGTACCACAAAGCACAGTTCACAGCCTCTAAATAAATAAATTTTTGGAATATGTGAAGTTTTTGCTCACAGTTTTACAAAGAAGTTGATTAAACATTACAAAGATAAACATATAATCTCTCTCTCAAGCATTCTGCATTTTCCCCATCGGGAGTTAATCTATATCACTAGCCAACCATAATCTAAATATACCCAAGAAATACTTAAATTTTTCGAAAAGCAGTATACTACTACTAAATCACTCAAGTTATTCATATTTGGAGATTTTCATAAGAAATTATTTTACTAATTTGGATTATTTTAATCATAAACTGGAAATTATTTAGAATAAGCACCAGCTACCAGCAATTACAAGAACTAATTGCTAATAAATCAAGCTTAAGGACATTAACAGTTACAATAGGGTCACTTTCAGAATTAAATTTGTGATTACAGCTCTGCTTGTAAGCCCATTCTCTACACAGCTACTCGCTCACAGCTCCTCAGGCAAATCAGCAGCGACTCACCAACAACTGTACCCTCTACCTCCCTCTGCAAGACAAAACACATGCTCTTCAGAGCCTACCTGGTGGCACAAGGGGTTATGTCTCATCACTATGAAACTATCTGCAGCCACTGCAGTAAGAGTTCAATCCTCTGCCAGCAAGCTGACCCGCATGGCACAGTAGACCTCTCCTGTCTCACCTGCTGCTCTCCGCAGCAGTGTTTTTCAGTAGATCTGACTATTCGCCTCCCCACTCTGTCTCTGGTGAATCCTCTTACCCCCTGTACCTCTGGCCTATACCCCAACTCTTATGAATGAATACATAAAATAAATCTTAAGAAAATCCTCTTTAGCTTTTGAAAGCAAAAAGTGAGTGGAGGTGAGCAGCAGCACATTGAAACATGTATGATAATTTTTATAATTTTATAATTAAACACTATTCCTAAAATAGAAGGCAAGGCAAATAAACAGGCAGTTTATGTGGGAAATTAAATTTTTCTTTGAAAATATGTGAACATTAGTAGGTACATATAAAAAAGAAGCTAGAAGCATGAGCTTCAAAATTCAAATCCTGGCTCTGTCACACATTAACTATATGAATCTAATCTTAATTTTCTGATCTGTAAAATGAGTATAAAATTATCACAGAGCTACTGTAAGGACCAAATAAAAACATAGGCCAAGTGCCTGGTGCCTAGTAAGTATGTGGTGGTGATAGGAACAGTGATTATTTATGAATATCAATGTCATAACTACCACTGACACACAGCCACACATTCCTGCTCCTTTCACAGTACCAAATTATTTTCTTGTCTCTTACAAAGTGCTGCTTCCAACCTCCCGTAGGCTCATTAGAAGATATTCTATAGCAATTTATGTAATCAAAAATTAAAAGGATAAATATCCTTTTCTGATTTTTTAAAAAAATGTTTATTCAGCAATAAATTATCTATAAAGATGTTGTCTCTAACTTTATTAAAGGGTGCTGTTTAAAAAAATGGTTTGTTTAATTTAATTACTTAGTCTAAATCACCAAATTATCCATGTAATAAATGTGTAACAAGACTGATTAAGCATTAAATGAAATGAAAGATTATCATTAAATATTACTGTGGATGAAGGTTATATATGACATAGGAATGATAAGCTCTTTTGCAGCAAACATGATTATTAGTTTTTAATTTCTTTAGACAAAATGAGACTACAACTAACTACAGAGCTGTTACCTTTGTAGCTACAAATGTTCTTGCTATCTTTTATTATGGACCCTATTTCATTAGAAAAATGTACAATTGAATTGTAGATCTCATGATGGCATAAATATGACCTACTCTTATAACGCACTAGAAAATGCCATCTGAATGAGAGGTTATATATTGGATTGAATAACTGGCAAAAAATGATGATGAGAGAAGATCAGCTAAAGTTACCATTCCTTTCATATTTTCTACGTGAAATCCCAAAGGTCACAGGAAAGGTACTATAACAGAGAGGGATAAAAGGAAAACTTTTCAACATGCCTCAAACAAGCCACGATCAACTGGGAAGAGTCTTCTTAGAAGCTGCAGGCTTTGCTCCCTTTCTGTAAAGAATGGCAGCCAGCAGAGAATGAAGGAAGCCACAACAGTACACGCTAGCTTGACTAACAGTACAAACCTAGAACCAAAGCAAAAGTGACTTGTAAGAAAGGGAAAGGTTAATGATTGAGAGATCAATTACTAAATGTAACAAATGAAAATGTATGGTAATGATGACTAATGCTACCACTACAGGTTTTCAATGGGAATCAACTCAAAAAAGAATTTCAAGAAATTCACAGCCATTGAAATGAGCACTCCTCCAACAAAAAGACTATCACCATCCTAATTAAAATTTAATAAAGACTCCTTCCTATGCAGCAAAATAAAATCAATATGGGATGTATTTCTGGTAAATATAAATTGTATTATGCTCTAAACAGATGAACTCCTATGGCAATATACTAACAAATCAACCCACATTACCTCCAGTTAAGTGTACATGGATCAAAATATTAAATATTCAAGGAGAAATATTTAAAATAATACAGAATGTGACTTAATCTCCCCTTCCCTTTACCCTATAAACAATACATTAAGAAGAAATGACCAAAATGAGTGTAGACCACTTTCCTTCTGGTAAAGTATGCCAAGTAAATTCTCTGAAGTAATTTTTTGAATTCTGGTGTTTAAAAGCCACTTACCCCTTTCCTTTGATTCCTTTTTTAAAACACTTGCCAAGTAAAAAACAAAAAAATGGCAAGGAGTGGTAAAGTTCCATTTGCTTATAATTTATAGCTAAGCAAAATGCTAGTGACCCTAGCAGATCCCAGTCACAAGATACTCCAAGAACACCCCACAAAGCAAAGCCAAGACTCACAGAATTATATATGTTCCAGTGTTAAGGAAAGTGTCTCAGTAATTAAAAGAGATATATCCTGCATTTTATAGGGTACGTTTCTTATGTAATGTAAGATAACATATCTAATAAAAGTGACTTTTAAATAGAAATTTAAAGTATTGAAGTGATAAATTTGAAATTATATACAATGGCCTCAAATATATTAAATCTACTGCTAAACAAAGCAACTGATTTGATTAAGTTTATAAAGCACTGAGTAGCTGGCATGCAGCTTGGTTCTGCTAAACTACTTTATAATAATACTATAATAAAATACCAAAATTTAAAGAATAAAACCATGCTCCAACCATAGGGTAAATTCTTCCTCTATAATATTCATCAATAACATAAATATATGTGCTTGGTTAGTATTGTTATTTAAAACATCACAATTATATTTTCAGCTCAAAATGGAGAGCTCATTTATACTCTCCTTTCCAAGACCCCCTTCAAATAATAAAGAATGAGAAAAGTATAAAGTCACAGCCTTAATGAGAAAAAGAAGATGGATTACAATGGGAAAAGATCTCAACACATTCCTAGAAGACAGAAGAGGACAGAGAAGTGGTCACAAATAGAAAGGGATGGAAGAAGCCACAGCTTAGAGAATTCACAGAGGAAACACGGTCAAGCAACAAGCAAGCCCACTTAATAAGCCCCTAGAGAACTCCAGGAACAACCAAGTAGATTGCAGAAATTAAGTAATTTGTGGAAAAAAGAACAAGAGGATTTACTGAAAAATCCCTGGATACGGAAGTCAAATCCCATATCATTTCTGTACAAAGGTTATTTTGGAGTCATAATATTTATCCCCAAGACAACTAAAGAAGGAATATTTCCCCAAAGAAATGGAATAAGTGGCTGGTGTAATAACTAGCATAGGAGATAACACTACAGAGCAAAAACCTTCAAGTTCCAGACATCTAAGAAACCCACAGTATACTGGCCACCACACTGAAACAAATACATACTGAGTTTACATGTCTCTTTCTTCTGTCTTGTTCTTAAATAAGAATATATCCACTAGGGTCAAACAAACATTTAAGGAAAACCTATAACAGACAAAGGACCAAAATGAAAAAGGAAAAAAGATGGACTAGAAGAAAGGAAATAATTCAGTGACAGTATGTATGTATGTGTGGAGGAAGGAGGGGAAAATAAACTGAAATTTAAAATTGCTCGGCAAGGATGTAGAAAAAAATGAACCCTTGTATGTTGCTTCCATCCCTTTCTACTTGTGACCACTTCTCTGTCTTCTGTCTTCTAGGAATGTGTTGAGATCTTTTCCCATTGTAACCCACCTTCCTTTTTTCTTTATGGCTGTGAATTTATACTTTTCTAATTCTTTATTATTTGAAGGGGATCTTCGAAAGGAGAGGGGGTAAACAATGTAAATATTGGTATAGCCGCTATGGATAACAGTATTGAGACCATCAAAAACATTAATAAAACTACCACAATTCAGCTATTCCATGTCTGGATATGTGTTTGAAGAATATGAAAACATGAAATCAAAAAGGTATTTGTGCCTACCTATGTTCACCACAGTATTATTCACAATATCAAAGTGATGGAAGCAATGAAAATGCCTAGCTAGATGTACTCACACACATTTGTTCCCAAGCAATTTAATAAATGCATACTTTACCTTCAAATAAAAACCTGTAAAGAGATTCTCTGTATCAGTGTAAAAACAGATTATATAAGCAAGTACCCCAGCAAATTAGACATTATTGTGCAATATGGAAGTTGGCCTAGATTTCATAATATGCATCTGATTTTATTTCAAAATTAGTAAAGGATACTGAAAATGTCCATAGTCAATAAGAATAAGTCCTGGATATAGCAATATGCATAATGCATTGGTAACCTGTAAAGAAAAATATTGGGAAATAAGAATGTAATTTGTTACTCAAATCAAACAGGGTAAAAGTGTGGTTTCATTTAACACAATAGCAAATGTTCCCCTCTTACCTTCTATTTATCAAAATATTTCATTTTCATTTAACAAACTTTAAACATTGAAGTTTTCAGGAAAGTGATTTAAGATACCTCAGTAAAGAGGAAGAGTCACTAAAAGTATTTGTCAAAGGATGCACTCAGTCAAATCAGAAGTTAACCTAATGGTTACCCTATATAACATGAATGAGAATATGTGCTAACTATGAACATGAGACTATATAGCAAGTTTTCAAAATGCATTTCAGTTTAGTCATTCTAAATGAAAAAATTAGTAATTAAAAATTCACATTTACCAGTTTAGCAAATTCAGTATGCTGTATAATTCAGTTGTATAGAACATCTAAAATTCATCTTAAAAGTACATCTTAACACTACAGTTGGATATTAATGTTATCCTAATATAAGTTATTGTTCTATAAATAAAAATTAATTTCTAGAAAATATCTATTCCCAAAAGCCTTTTTCTTTAATATTATACTTAATAGCTAAAACTAAACATTTCAGAGAGGAAATGTCAGGCTGTTTAAACTTACTTTTTTCTTAGTAGAGATATCTTTTAAGCAACAACAGTATATTACCACTGCAGGTATGTAAATCAGCAAATCTGCAATTAAAACTGAAAAACAAATAAATAGTCTTAAGCCTAAATTCACCAAGACCCACAGTAAGATATTAACTATCCCTACTGGAAACTCTGAGTGGAAATTCTAACCCAAGATTCCTACCTAATCTGTATAACTTCTGTACATGTCAAATCTTTTCCATTCCATTCATATATGCCCAATTTCAACTGACATTATACTATAGAATTATAGCTATCTAAAATTCACTTTTTATTCTTAGACTTAAAAATTACAATTCTCAAAGGCAAGGAAAGACAACATTTTTCTTCTCAATATCTGTATACTCCAAATTTTCTGTTATAAGGTATACCTCAAATATGATGACGCATAAAAGAATCTTTTTTAAATGTTAATATCTATGAAAATAACAAACTTTTGCTAACTGATACATGTAAGCCACTTAAGAGGCCAAAGTTAATAAGCAAGCTGAGAAAAAGTTAAAAAAAAAAGGCAATTAAATTCTGAAAGTTCAGTCCTTTTAGAACAAAAAATAAATCCACTTAAGTTCTTCAATAGTAAAATACGCTCTTTCTAAAGAGCGTATTTTTCCCTTGTATTTTAAGTATGTGTCCAAAATAAGGTAAATGATAGTAAACTATCAGTATTGGACACATGTAGTCTATTTTTAATTCCAGATGCCACATTTAAGAGGATACACATCAACTAGAACACACTCAAATGAGCAGCACCAGAGGTCTCAAAACCACAATAACATTAAACAAACTGATCATCTAAGAAACAACTAAGTATCTCAGAATGTTTTTAACCTGGAAAAGAAGTGTTAGGTATACAAAGGATCAGACTGATGCCCAAGAAAACAGAACTTGTGCCTTAGTAGTGGGTGTGGTGTGGTAACATGTACCTGACAAAGTGAAATCCTGTATTTCTCAGTCACATATAGTGTTATAAACCAACATTCCTTTAATTGAAAAAAACAGTTTAAAAATTACTAGTAGAGGTCCTCCCTGGGAGTGCAGGAGTTGAAGACATGGCATTGTCAAGCTACTGCCAGCCACTGCAGCATGAATTTCATCCCTGGCCAGCCAAGGAGCTGACCCACATGGTACAACAGACCTCCCCTATCTCGCCCACTGTGCCCTGCAGCAGTGTATTTCAGTGGATCTGCCTATTTTGCTCCCCACTCTGTCTCTGGTAAGTCCTCTCACCTCCTGCATCTCTGGCCTGCACCCTAGTTCTTGTATGAATGAATAAATAAATAAATAAATATTTTAAATTATTAGAAAATATTTTATGATAAGGGCTCTCAAAAAGTAAAATAAACTGATTCTAAGGTTTCTGAGTTCCCTGCAGATACAGAGATTGGTTTAAAAGCCAAATAGTCATGTATTGTATATGTAATTCAAAGAGGACTGAAGTATTATGGGGAGTGATAAGGGAAAGAGGAGTGTGGTAAAAGGCAGGCAAGGTAATCTCTTGGGTCTGAGGCTCCAGGAAGGGATGAATAGTAAAAATAACAAATCCTCACATAATTTTATTAATTAATTTTATTAATTAAGGAAAAACCCTTAGCATTAATATCTAAAGCATATACAACTTTTAGAGAAATCTAAAATTAATCACTTTCAAGTTCTTAGAACAGCATATAACAGCTACTTAATAAACGTTTGTTGAGTAGTTTAATTTAGCAACTGGGGACAGCAATACAATGTATGAGATACAACCTTGAGACTTACTTATGAGATACAACCATAAGACAAAGATTAAATGGATCTGACATTAAAACAAAAACCACAATAACTAAAATTTCAATCTATTGCTATCTGTCCTTACATAAACTATTAACCTCACTTAACTGTGCCTTAGTCCCTTCAATTTAAAATAAAAATAGTAATAGCATTTATCCATTTAAGTGTTAAGCAAGACAGCAATAAATGTAAAGAACCTAGAATTAGTCTTCTATGCTTTTCACTTTTAGCTTACATATTTAACAAGCATGTATCATCACACATATGTATACACATAGCTATACAATTTTAAAAGCCATTAAGAACAATAACCTTTCATCAGTTCATACAAATATTTTTAAAACCAGACTTTACACTCAATACTACTGTTCTCTTACCTGTTGTGCGCATAAAGAGCTTATGTGCCTCACTCTCATATCCACGTGATGTATGGAGAGCAATCCAGTCTGGATTTATGAACTTTGCCCTGTATAGCAATGCAGATATATATATATATATATATGTACACATATACGTATACACACACACACACAGTTTATTCTCTATCACTTTTAGCAATAAGGGTATGTAAATTGGTTTTCAGAAGTACTGTATTCTTATGAAGTGTTAAGTTTTGCTCTTTATTTAATCATGTAAAAGTGACTTGAGCTATAAGACAGGATCTCTTTTGTTTTATCTTTCAACAAAACTGTTACATGCTACTAAGTCATGCCTTTACAATTCTTGCAGTATATAAAACAATCAATGTGTCATAATTTCATTTATTAAACACACAATTTGTAAAGAACAATATACTAAAAACAATGGACCATGCTTTATAATTTATATTGTTTTCAATTATCATAAGACATTATCATAAGACTTCAAAAGACAATCATAAACTTCTATAAATCATAAGGCATAAAACTAAAGATAATTTTTAAAGATAAATTAAGCTTTCAATCATAGTTGATTACCCTGAACACTGCAAAGTATAACTGATAATCGTGAAGTTTGCAGATCTATTTTTAACCTAGGAAGCTAATTTTACAAAATATGAAGTAGCTAAAGATGAAATAATTAAATGAATTCAAAGACATTGAAAAATGTCTCAAATTTTTGCTGACACACTTCAAGCCTGAAATGGAATAACACTAGAGAAGAAATGGGTCTCCACCAAATACAAGTTCCTGATCTTCTATAAATCATTCCTTTTTACTAAAAGGAGAAGGAATTCCAGTCCTAATCTTAAATTATAAGTGAAACACTACAGTAATTCTAGTTTCTACCTTGACAGATTAGTCAAAATACCATCTGACCTATTTCTTTCATTTACTGTGAGCCTTCCAGAAAAAAACTTTCCATGGACAATAAGTATATTAAATACATTTCTCACTAGGTTAATTGGTAACTTCTCTATTTCAAAAGAAAACAGGGTTTTTGCTTTTTTTTTTCTAATCTGTCATTCAAAAGTATTATGGAAAAGTTTAAATTCTGATACTTAACTTTCTTACAACCTGATAAAAAGGACTAGTACTTAAAAGTATACAAACCAACTAATACAACAGTAGCTATAACAATTCTATCACTTTATTTCATAAAGCCAATCACACTGTTCTTTTACTCTATATAATGGAACATAAATATTTAGTTACATTAAAGAAGAAAAACTTACACATATGCACATAAGAGACTATGATAAGCTGTAAGAGGTGGATAATCCAGTCCCCAATACTGTAAGTTGTTATCAGTGCTGTTAAAATACCTAAAAAAAAAATAAAACACCATTATATTTATCTATATTCAAGAAATAATCTAACATCATCTTAACTCATTTAATTAAAATAAAAAAATTATGCCATATCAAAACTTTTTTGTCTTTTCCCCTTTGCTTAATTTTTTAAACTCACAATTAAAAATTATTTTTGAATTGAATAACTAACTTATTGTCTAAATGAAGGTGCTCTTGATCCAAACAATGAAAAAGGAAGCTATTATAACTGATCCGTAACAATAGATGAAAATCAAGACTATTTCAGGCAAACAAACTTATTATCATTCTATTATTAGTAGACTTTAATCAATGACTAATGCTTCTACAACAACAACAAAAAAAAATTGTTTCTGATAGGCTAGGAGATGCCTAAAGCCAACTGTTAATTCCAAATTCATATACTAGAGGGTGCAATACAGATAGTTTTATTGTGTGTACCACATAGAGTTGTGAAGGATTCAGTTAAACTGTAGAGCTGTTAAGTCACTGTCTTACACAAAGTAGTTACACAATAGTAGCTCTAACTATTAGCCACAAAACTATTGGGATGCATATAGCAATAGAAAACACTAAGTAATTCAATAATCACATTTTGACCAACACAATTAAAATTAAAGTCTTACTATTGCATTCAGTGTTTTCCCCAAGAAGCAGTAAACCGAAAGTTGCAATTTATCTCTTTACTAACCTTTATATACTAAATTGTTTAATTTTTTATCAAAATCTTTGCAGAAATCAGCCAACAATACAATTATATTATCCATGTAATATTTAGGAAAGAATAGAAAAGAGGTGCAAAACTGAAAAGCAGCAACGAGGTTTGCCCAGTAAATATTATACCTTATGCTGCCAGTTAAGCAGAGGAAAAAAATCAAGAATGTATTAATAATCTAAACAAGTAATAATTATTGGTTAAATCAACATCTGAGGAACTGAATGCTGCTCAAAATAGAATAAAGAAGAGTGCCAAATACTTCACTGACCTCTATTTTAAACACTCTGACTAAGGCATAGCCAACATATTAACAGGGAGTTCAATATGAAGTTCTGTAATAACCTCTTATAAAGGAGTTATATAAAAGCAGCAACCAATAGAGCAAAACCAATGGTTAGTATAGCCAATCTCTAATAAAATTATCTACCAGGCATCCAATAAATCAATAAAGTCATCAACTGTTATAGAACATACTCAATGGCAATCATAGAAGCAAAAATTTCTGTGAAAATATAACCACAGCTAACATTTAATGGGAACTTACTCCATTTCAAGTTCTAGTCTAAATGGTTTCCATGTACCATTTTATTCAGTTCTCACAATAACTCAGGAAGCTATGTATTCTATTATTTCCATTCTACAAGGGCTAACATTGTAGTGAGAAAGGTAAATAACTGACCAAAGGCGATACAGCTGGTAACACTAAAGCCAAGAACCAGACTCCAGCGGTCAGACCAGCACTTAAAGTCTTTATCACATCTATACATGCCTAACTTTGGATCTCTGCAAAACCTCTGAAAGAATATTGTTAGCCCATAAACTTCCACTGTTCCGTCCAGCAGAGTTTCTAAGGCATACAGTGCTCTGTCATCATAGTTCTGGTTAAGTAACAAATTCCTGCCGCTAATTGAATATAAAGAGTGTCTCAAGAGAATGAAATTTCAAAGATGGGTATACAATCTGCAAGGTAATAAGGAACATTAGTGTACAGGAAGATGAAGATGTATAAAACAAAGAATATGACACATTTTCCTTTTGCTATTAAATATCTTCAAATAATCTGTACTAGCTGAAATAATATATAATAAAATCAAGTTAAAATTATCCATACCATTGTTTGACTGGTAAATTAAAAGTAATTTCTTGCCAGTGTCTCTGAGCTTCATAATCACCAAACATAGGGGGTTTTCCAGCACCTAATGTGAAAGGTAAAACAAAACAAAATAATAAATTATTTTAAAATGTCACTGACATTTAATTTCTCTAAATAACATAGGCAGCATTTTTACATGAGTATTTGGACAGAGGGTAAAAGGGGAGCCAGAGAAACATTTCTATTTTAAGAAATATATAACCATTGTCTACAGCTTTCTTTTGAGGGAGAATGACTTATTTTTTGTGTTTTCTTTTTGTTTGTTTTTGGACCACAGGAATAATAAAAGTCAGAGAGGAGTTTAAGTAGTTTCTTATACCTGAAAACTCCAACTATCTAGATTTCTGAAATTCCTCTAGACATGTGGTCAATGTGGAAAAATTTATTACCATTCTCTAACAAATAGAAGAATGGGTAATGACTCTCTTTAGAGTTGAGAAACAAGTTTCTATCCAGAGTCTGACCTACTTCAATAAATTCAGCTGACACTGGCTATGAAATTAGTACTTAAGTTTTTAAAACTGCTAAAGTGCCCTTAAAGCAACCCAGAAGGACAGCCCAACTGTACCTATGGGAGCTTCACTTAGGAAGGGCAAAAAGGATTCCTTTCACAGAATTAATCCTACAAATTCATTTACATGAGCATCACAATTACATAAAGAAAACATACTAATGTATATTTACAGAGGCTCAATTTTGTCTCATTTCAGAAGATGAATTGAAGTACCACTTAAGATCATTTTATGAATTACTGAGCTATTCAGGTTTATGTTGGAATTTTTATAACTAGTCATTTCTTTCATAATAATACAAACTAATTCCCTTTATGCTGAAATCTTACATATTCTAAGAGAAGACTTTTGGCCAAAATTTTCCAGAATAAAATCACCCTTTCCTCATGTTCCCAGTGAGTAAGAAGGAATGTTACAAACAGCAGTGGCTAATCTGAGAAAAATTTATAAACAGGACACAGTCATACCTTAACAATGACTGATGTTTCGCAAAAAATGATCTATAACTTTCTATTCCTAAACAGCCAATACAGCTTTAGGGGAAAAAAAAAAAAGATTATTAAAATAACCTTCCTTGCTTCAAATGTTGGTATTGGGTACCACTTTGGCTCGTTTAGAGGAACCATGTATTTCTACTTTCATTTTTACTGCAGGTGATGCTACAGTTTTATTTCATCCCATTTTAGTTTTCTGGCCTTTGCTAGCTTACTGGGTACTGAGAATTCTTTTTTTGCAGTTGCTGAGTTAGTGGGGTGGAAGGCCTGAAATGACCCAGTGGCTGGTACAGATGTGTTGGGGGCAGAGATGGGCTAGTTCACCCATCAACATTTGTGGCACCACCAACATCCCTCCTCTCTGTTTCCAGATCTGAGATTCTGTGTGTTTGTACACTCTTGGTGCTTCACAAGGTAACTACCTGTCTTGAAGGGTGGCGTAGGGTCAGTCAGTCCCCAGCACATGCTTACCAGGGATCTGGCCTGTATGAAACACCATATGTGGTTTCCTTCGATCAATGGTATATGCCAATATGCTATTTACATATTCTTTTCTTATAAGTATATTGATAGATTTCTCTCACTAGTGTTTTCTTTATGACTTTAGCCATCTGTGCACATGAGTTACATTGGTCTGCAAATTATACATCTTTAAAATGCCTTTGTCAGATTTGTAATGAAGGATATGGTAGAAAATGAATTAGGAAATATATACTCTTTTCCTAAGGATATATTTGGATAAGTGTAACATTGGAATTACTGGTATTTTCTTTACATTCTTGGTAGGATTTTCTAATAAAGCCATTGAGCCTATAGTATATTACAAATTGGATTATTCTAGGAAGACAAGATTAGTTCAACTAAAAAGAAGACACACATACTAAATGTCTTAAAAATACCCATTAAAATTAGAAATAAGATAGAAATGTCTGAGTCACTCTTCTATTCAACGCTGTAGTAAGGTCCTAGCAATAAAGCAATAAGTGTGAGTATTAACAGAAAGGAATAAATAACAGATCATTTGTTTTATAACACATACAATCCAAAAGATCTTTCCAATAAATTTATTAGAATTATAAGATTTAGAAATATTACCAAAAATAGTTATGAGTATTTACAAAAGCAACATTTAAAAAAGGTGTTATCTATCATAGAAAGACGTATGTGAGTGTATGCCTACGAATACATCTAAAACAATTTTATTTTGCAAAAATATTATAAGATTTTATTGAAAGACATTAAAAGATTTTTAAATAAATGGAGGACCATGCTCTTTTAATTAATTAGAAGTCCTGTTATGGTAGTGATTGCCCCCAAATTAATCAATGGTACAAATGACTAGAAATCCCAATCAAAATTCCAGCAGGCTTTTCAGGGATTTTTGACAATCTGATTTTTTTATTTGACAATCTGATTTTTACAAAAGACTTATCTGTGTGTATGTCACTATATAACAATGTTAATTAAGCAGCTTAAAACAATATTCTTTTATTATCTCATAATTCTATAGGTCAGAAGTCTGGGTGGGCTTAGTTTGGTTCTCTATTTAGGGTCGTACAAGGCTAAGGTAAAGTATCAGTCAGTCTGGATTTCTATTGGGAGGTCTGGGGAATGAATTCATTTCCAAGCAATTTCAAGCTATCCCCACAATTCAATTTCTTATAGCTGCAGAGCAAAGATTCCTATTTCCTTGCTACCTGTCACCTGGGGTTATTTTCTGCAACTAAAGACCACTTGCATTCATTCTCAAATGGCTCCTCCACTGTCAAGCTAGAAACAGCATTGAAATCTTATGCCCTGGCTCTCTGGAATCCCCTTATGCAGGAAGATGGAGAAAGTTCTCTTCTTTTATGGACTCATGGGATTATACTGAGTAATCCAACACAATCTCCCTATCTTAAAATTGCCCATGCTGTATTATATAACGACTCCCAAGGGAGATCTCATTTTCAGATTCTAGAGATTGAGACAGAATATCTTTGCAGGGGTCATTTTAGAATTCTGCCTATTACAAAATACAGAACAAAGTCAAGAATAACTAAAACATTCCTAAAACTGAACTGTTAGGTGGGACAACTTGCCTCACAACATATCAAAATTTATTATGAAACTACGGTGACACAGTAGTTTGAACCAATATATCAGAATGAGAGTCAGAAACAGACACCTGTATATATGAAAACCTGGAAAGGGATGGACTGTTTCAGTAATTGAGCTGAGACAATTATCCATGTGGAAGAAAATTTCAATGGATCGCTAGCTCACCTGCTATACACAAAAATCAATTCTAACATATAAAAAGCATAAATCATAAAGAAAAGAGATTGAGAAATTATATTATTTTAATATAAAAAAATTACTGTTCCTCAAAAGGCACCTTTTTTTGGTAAAGATTTATTTATTTATGCATACAGAACTGGGGTACAGGCCAGTGGTGCGGGGACAGTGAGAGGATTCACCAGAGACACAATGGGGAGCAGAACAGTCGAATCTAGTGAAACACACTGCTGAAGGGAGCAGCAGGGGGGTCAGGAGAGGTCTGCCATGCCATGTGGGTCAGCTCCCTGGCTAGGGATTGAACCCATGCTGCAGTGACTGCTGACAGCTTCGCAGTGCTACCCTTTAACCTCTTGTGCCATCAGGGAGGGCCCAAAAGAAATGTTAAATTTAAAATTAATCCCAATCCCAATCTGGGCCACACTCCATTAGTTCTCCCTCCCTTTCTCTCAGATCATGCCCAATCTTACTCTTCTCCACTGAACTCTTCCTTTCAATCCAGTAACACCCTTTCTTTACCCTAAACATCAAAAAAGAATCCTTTGGTTCAATGATCCCTTTATAGTACTAGTTTATTTCTGTCTTCAATGCCTAAAACATAATTATTTCTCAATTTTTAATCTTCTGGCTAGAATACATTTTAGTTTTCTTACAAGCCCAGTTAACTCTTAAACATATTCTTTTTACTACAAGTAGATGTTTAAATACATTTTCACGACTACACCAAAACTATGAAATTGTTCTGTCCCAGTCAGAAAACTGTAAACTATCACAAAAGGGGTAAAAAAAAAAACCTATTCAAAGGAAGATTTGTCAACATTTTTTATAGCAAAAATTTGTTACCTGAATAAGAATTAAGAGAAACTGTCCACCGTACTGTTAGTCCTATTAAGACCACAACTGTCATCAAGTACCATTTCTCCATAGCTGTTCTTCAGATTTAGGGAGGGAGGATAAACAGGAGCTGTATCAGAATACTTTCAACACACAGTAAGTCTCTTCTTTTCTTGACCAGAGGACTGTTATGAACCCTTTCGAATTAGGAGCTTGAGATGACTTTAAGTGATACTTCTTTTCCAAGCAGTTAAATATAGTGATGTTTATGTCTTTGAAGAGAAAGTCTGGAGAAAAAAAAAAAAAGATGTTTAGTAACATTAAACTAAATAGAAAGATGGAGAATTACGGAGCAGGGATGAAAGGGAAGACGAAGAGGAAAGGGAATAGTTTTAGTACTTTATTCCTAGTCCTCCAGTTGGTAAACAAAAGGTAGCTCTCCCTTTTATATGGGACTTGATATGCTAAAGACTTAGTAAGGATTTGGCCTCACAAGAGAAAAGAGACATATGGTAGATAATACAAGAGCATATTCTTCAACAGGTAGATAAATTAGACCACAAAAATAGACAAGGGGGTGATTTATCTTTGGTACCGAGAGAATGAGGAATTTGTATTGAGTTTGAGAAAGTCTTCTACTAAAGTAATTTTTATAGTTTGTTTTTACTTCATTTTTTCTAAAATATACTTGCTCTAACCATATCAATCTTCCTTCTTTGAGAATGAACTTATCCAAGAATCTGTAAGAATAGCCCCAATACTAAAGCAGTAAGAAGTAATTAGCAATTCATATATTTTGCCTTTCCCCATAAGTTAGGGTTTTAAAGTAAAAAATAAATGAAATTTTCCTGTTTCTGTTTTCTTTGAAAAATTGTGGGCCATTTTAACCACAGAATTCAGAAAATTATAATTAATAAATCAATTGGAAACTTTCGCACATTTCAGCTACTGAACAAAAATTACTTTCTTACTTAAAAATTAAAATAGCAAGAACTCTACAACTAATTAAACTAGAGTCTCAATCAATTAGAATATCTCAAAGCATTTAATAAGCCTAAGTATATTATTCAATTAGTGATCATACAAAGCCCCTTTCTCTTTCCTTCCACCACATCCACTTTATTTTACTGTTCAGTAGAACATCTATCACTGAGGCAAATTTAAAGGAAAAATTAAATCACTTTCTGGTATTGATTCTGAATTTGACAAAGGTTATAGAGACTATTATATACTATTCAAATTCTGTTTTAGTCTAACTTGAAGTTTCCTTTTATCAACATACTGTATTATAAGTCACAGAATTGCAATATATAACATTCTATTTTCTGAAACAACATATATTTTTTAATGTTTAAAAATTATACAAATGTGGGCCTCCCTGGTGGCGCAGGATGTCAAAGTCTCAGAACTATCAAGCTATCCAAAGCAATAGCAGCTTTAGTTCAATCCCTGGCCAGAGAGGTGACCCACATGGCATAACAGACCTCTCCTGTCTCACCTGCTGCTCCCTCAGCAGTGTATTTTGTCTCTGCATGCTCTACTCCCCACTCTGTCTCTGGTGAATCCTCTTACCTCCTGCACATCTTGCCTAAACCCCCGTGTTTGTATGAATAAATAAATTAAAATAAATCTTTAAAAAATTATACAAATGCTAGATCCTAGTTTTTAAAATACAAGTTATCACAGAAATTTTAAATCACTATTATGACCAAGTTAAGTAAATATTCCAGTTCCATATAATCAGACTTAGGTAACTTCTCCAGGAATCTGAAGTAACACCTCCACCAATAATAATAATCACAATAAAGTATAAAGAACAAAATGCTTAACTTATATTATGCTGATCAAGTCAGCTGAAAACATGGGAGGTAGGATAACTGACAAATGAAAGAATATCAAAAAATATTTGGACACCATCTATAATCGACCAAATCTTTACTCCAGAAATCATACAGAAATAAATTCAACTAAATTCAAGTCATGCACTTAAATGTGAAAAAAAAAAAATAGAAGGCAAAGACAGCAGATGATAACCAACTCTGTATGAGGAACTCAGAACTGAGGACCAACATTGTAGGTATTTGATTACACATTAGGAGAGCTTTCCTAACAATTAGAGTTATCCAAAAATGAACTCCATTCTTGAGAAGGGCTCCTCTTTAATAGTTTCAAGGAGAAGTCGAGCGATTACTTGACAAAAATGTTTTTAGTGCATGGAATAGATGACTAATTTCTTAAGTGTCTTCTAAGGCTGATTTTGGAAGCATATTATGTGTCTGAATTCATGAAAATCCTGATAATACCAAAAAATGGTATGCCAACATTTTGTTTCCTGACTTGACAACGGTTGCCCAGTATTGCGACTTTTATAGACTTTCCCATCCTTCACAGTGGCTCACGTTAGTAACTAAAGGATACCAAAACATCTTTTCAGAGATATATTAATTACACTTTGGTAAAACCCAAATACCCTCGTCATAAGACATCTAACATCTGACCATTACCTGCCTCTAATTTTATCTCCTAGCACTTTCCTATGAAGTGTTCATTCTGTTCCTAGGACCTATCAGGTTCCTCTGTACCTCTGTTCCTTTCCATTCCTTCTGCTTGGAATGCTCTTAACCCAGCTCACTGGCCAATGTTTTATCACTGGTGTAATCTCTCTTCTCAAAAAGATCATCCCCTGATCACCCTACTAAAGTTTCCACCTCTTACTATCTGTACCACTACCTTCTTTAATTGTTTCTTTCAAACAACATAGAATAGCCTTATAAATGCAATTTTCAGTTAAAAAAATACATCAAAGAACACATAATAATATGCAAAAGAAAACATCAAAGAGCACAGAATATATATGTTCTCCCATTTATGAAAGACTTATAAATCGGTAAAATTAATCTATGATGCTAGAAATCAGGAAAGAGGTTACCTTTGAGGAGAAAAGAGGGAATGACGACAAGGAGAGGTCCATAGGGAGGTCTTCTGAGAAGACGCTGTGTATGTTTTTCTCGATTTGAATGGTGGTTAAAAGATGTGTTTATGATAAATCAACAAGTTACAACTTTTGGTTTGTGTAATCTTTCCCTGTACATATATTCCCATTTCAAAAACTTTAAAAATAAATTACAATTTGTCAACTAGAGTACAAACTCCATGCAAGTAGGGATCCCCTCCAGTCTTATCGTTGCTCTGTTCCCTATACTTGGAAAACGTTGGCTGAAAGCAAGACCTCCAGAAGTATTGCTGAATGGAGATCTTCGTCTGTGTGAAGAAGGGAGGTACCTAATTCCATGAGTCCTTCGTGGTTAAAGATAGTATGTAAGACCTTTAACAGCTCTCTTCTTGACAGTAAAAAGGGAAGTCTATTAATTTTTCCATCTGCAAAGCCAGTACCGTAACTTTCTCATCCATCCACAAGCCATGCAGTTGCCAGTTTTCCGTCCTACTTTCCCTAGAGGGTGGCATCTCGACAAAAGTCAGCCGCCCATTTCCCAGGGCTGAATTTGTCCCTTTCGATGTGAAAGGTCCGTCCCCCAGAGTGGACACCAGACTCTGGGAGTGCCACAATTCCCAGGTGAGCGAAGATGAGAAGAGAGAGCCCGTCTTTCGCCATTGGCCCAGACCCTCACGATCGCAAGAACAAGGACACCAGGACCGCTGCAACCAAGAGATCCCACCACCACCACCGCGTCCACTCCTCGCCGACCCCAGCGCGATGCAGACTGGGCTGGAGGCCTCGCAAGCTACCACGGACTGGAGCGGAGAGCCGAGCCCCCGCGCCAGCTTGTGCGCAGGCTCGCGGCGATGTCGGGCCCCCAATCCCTCCCAACACCAGCCGCGCACTCCAGTACCCCCACCACTCCCCACCCCCACCCCCGAGAACCCGGCCTCTTACCCAGCCTCCCGCGGAAGGTTGGGATTCGCGCCGGCCAGGGGTCGGAAGAAGGCGCCTGCGCGCTCGCCCCCGCGGCAGAGTAACTCTGGGGCCTTCCGCCTCCGCGTGCTCGCGCACCGTTAGCGCTCCTGGCGCGGGAGCGAGCCCGTCGAGCGTGAGGGGAGGGGAGGGGAGGGGCGGGGCGGGACAGGGCGGGGAAAAGGCGCGCAGGAGAGGCAGCTGGTTTGGGAGGCGGGGCACGAGGGATTGGAACCCGAGAAGTCTCCGGTCTAGGGTTAGGTTTGGGGCAGGTGGAAAGCCCCTTGCTCTTCTTTCCTGGGATGGTGGCCAAGGCCTGAGCGGCTGCTTAGACCACAAATTCCTGTCAGGGGCGCGACCTGGCTAGCTTCACTGAATGGCGAGCCCTTGGCCAGTACTCACCACCAGGCAGTGCGTCCTATGCCCTCAAAGAGCCAGAAAGCCAGCCTACTTCACTTCTTCAAGCTCCATGCTTGAAGAATGTATAAAGTCTGGGAGGTCACTTCATCCAAGAAATAGTCAACTGGGAGATGGGAACCGTTTTTCAAGAACCTGTGGGTTATGCGAGTGAACAGCCCTGCTCTTGGGTAGCCAGCCACAGCCTGTTCCTAACCAGCTTTCATCACCTATTCCCAAACTTGACCAAAAACTACATTCCCCTCCTGTGTTCAGAAAATGTCTTCATTTTTCATTCCTGAATCTTGCAATTTTGTGCAAGTCAACCCCTCTAACTTAAAGTCTGTAACTATCAGCAGATACTGGGCTATAGTTTTATACTAAATAGGTTTGAATGAGTTACTGGGTCTTGATGGTTTCATCTGGGACGGGAGAGGAACTAGGTCAAATTCCACATCTAAAATTTTCTATTTCATTTCAAAGATCTGGAAATATCTCACTACCCTCAAGAGATTTAATTCTTATTGGAAAGATACTTTAATGCATTAAAGGACAAAAAAGTACAGTCTCCCTGGATTAAATCTCAGTGCTATCAAGCACTGAGTGGGAATCCTCTCACACCACCTTCCACCACCCAGGGCCCACCTCCCCCACCACACACACCTTAAGACTACAATTCAGCTCTTCTATGCATAAATAAATATTTTAATGTAATTAAATAAAGACTGGCAGTAAAAAGGAACACATGCTATATATCAAGTTATTAGTTTATATATATTAAGTGATGCAGGGATTCAAAGACGATCCACTGTAGACTTAAAGCTATGAAGAAATGCTTTCCCTATCCAAGTCAGCTGAGCTTTGAAGGAAAGCCTGGGCTTTAATGAGCTAAGAAAATGGGAGTCGGAATCTAGACAAAGGAAACTATTCAAGCCAAAAATGTAGCAGCTGAAAATTGCGGAACATTTCCTCTAGTTTAGAGGTGGGTGAAGAACCAGAAAGGAACATTTGTAGAGATTCTTGAATACCAGGCTGTGTTTGGAATTCAATTATCAGCAAGAGGGTCATTAAATAACTGCTGGGAGTCAAGTATACAGTACTAGAGAAAACTATAAGTGATAATAATGGATAAGCTGAATCAAAGAAAGGAGAAACTATAGTAGTCCAAACATAATTAGACAAGGGTATGATGGTAATAGTGAAGCTGGAAAGAGATCAGAGAGAATGTACCAGTCTTGCTAGCATGCTAGATGTGTAAAAGAAATGAAACAAAGGGGTCCCCCTTGATGGCGCAGGGAGGGGTTAAATCTCAGTTCTATCAAGCTATTGGGGCTACTGAGATCTGAGTTCAATCCCTGGCAAAGGAGCTGACCCACAAGGCACCCTGTCTCACCTGCTGCTCCTTTCACCAATGTATTTCAGTGGATTTTACTGTTCTGCTTCCCACTCTGTCTTTGGTGAATCCTCTTAACCCCCCTCACACCTCTGATCTTCACCCCAATTCTTGTATGCATAAATAAATGAAAATAAATATTTTTTTTTAATCCTGAGAAATAAAGAAAAAGGAATCAAGCATTTTTTTCTGCCTTCGTTACATAAATCGTTCCACTGAGCAGGGAAATAGTTGATATGGAAGAGGCTCTCTCTAATGAGTTATTTTAACTACTGTTCCTATCCTTCTTTGCCTTATCTTCCCTCTCTCCTTCCCCTTCTCCTTCTCCCTCCCTTAAACAAACACACACAAACACATACACTCAAAAGCCTTACAGATTAGACAAATTGCTTTTGGAACTTCAATAATTAGCCTTATATTTGGATAGAACAAAGTAGAATCAACCTAATATCAATTGTTATTTGCTGTGAATAGAGTAACTTAAATTTCTTTATTGCTTAATTGATATTAATCAATTTAATTCACAATTATTACATATTCATTTATTCAACAAATATTTATTGAATAAATAGCCTGCTCTTAAGGAGTTTATAAACCAGTATTCTATGCAGCCCAGCAGAATATAAATCATTACTTTTACTGCTAATTTCAGGTGCCAGTAGGAATTATTCTCACATAAATATATATTTTCAACTATATATTAAGTACATAGTTGTATTGTACATGTATTGAATACATGTATAATAACATATAATTTTATATGAACTATAAATACATATTCTGTTCATACAGTCCAAACAGTGATACTGTAATAGAATCTAGGGATAATTCTAACATACGATCATATTTTAATATCTTTATTTATATCTACATATAAATAAACCTATCTAAAGTAAATAAAACAGAAGAAATATAAATCTATAAAGATTCACAAGTGTCATTTGCTGTAAAAGTGCAAATACTATAAAATCATGAGATTTTATAACTTTTTAATTATTTAAAATATAGGAATGATGCTGGCCTTTATAGATAAAAAGAGTTCTTTAATGTAGCAATATAATGTATTCATTGGTTCATGGTCCCCAAATCTCCAAGGAGTGTCACAAATCTACATCTCTCTCACCCAGGATTTTGAATTTAAATTTAAATATATTATATATGATACAGCTTAGCCCAAAATAGTTTAGAAAATTATGAGCATATATAAGTTCCAATAATGAAGAACACTGTTGGGTCAGTGTTTAAGTAGATTTGTAAAGCCAATGTGATAATACAAATGTTGCTTTATTACTTTATCTTCGGCATCTTTCACAACTGAGTGGATTGTCACACTCTATTATGTGGCACACAGATCCACTGGCTACAGTTATCATGGTACTTGTCTAAACCAGTCTTTGAAAATGAAATTTGGGGCTAAATATAAAGGAGGCATCTTGCCAGAAAGAACTATTCAAACCCAAAAGTCTTCCCTAGGGAAATGGTAAGAACTCCATTTTAAAAATCATATAAATCAAGATGGTGTAAAGTTCCAGCTTGTAAAATTTATAGTAAATACATCAAGATTTAAAGTTAGATTTTTAAATACATTTTTATTCATAGTAAAGAATGAAAGTTCCTACCAGGAAACAGGATAAGGCACAAAATAAAGCCTTTGTTTCCCACTTGATGTTTTGTTCTTGTTCATCAATATTTTTGAAAGAGTGTCAAACTAAAAAAGAGCAGTGAGACACAAAATGTGTAGAATATAATTTTTTATCACCATTTTTTTTTTACAGCAGATTTCATGTTTGCTTTTAATGAGGAGATAGCAGATATTGTCAATAGTAGGGTTCAGCCTTTAGGAACATGGATTTAAAAATCTAAATGAGATACCACATGTGCCCAATAATAGTAGCTACTACATATCACCTGAATGATTCCCATAAACTGGAGGGAAGAATCTAGGTGCTTTGAAGGCATGAAGGAGGATAATCCTTTCTGGATATGCAGTTAAGACAGGTTTGGAAGTAACTACCTTTAAAAAGTTATTTTCCAACTGAGATGGAAAAAGGCACAAAATGATGTAAAAATAAACTATTATATTATTTTTTAAAAAGTTATTTTCTGGCCCTTCCTGGTGGCACACTGGTTTAAACCGCAGCACAATGAAGCTATCGTAGCCACTGCAGTATGAGTTTGATCCTCAGCCGGGGGGTGACCCATCTGTCCGCTGCTCTCCCAGCAGTGTATTTCAGTCCATCTGCCTGTTCTGTTCCCCATTCTGTCTCTGGTGAATCCTCTCACCCACACCCACACACACACTTCTGGCCTGTACCCCAGTTCTGTATGTATAAATAAAATAAATATTTTTAAAAAGTAATTGTCTTTAGGCTCTCCCTGGTGGTGCAGCGGGTTAAAGCACAGCACTGAGAATCTAAAGCCGCTTCCGCATGAGTTCGATTCCCGTCTGCCCCGGAGGTGACCACATGGTGTGGCAGACCTCTTCTGGCCCACCTGCTGCTCCCCTCAGCAGTGTACTTCGTTGATCTGCCTGTTCTGTTCCCCACTCTGTCTCTGGTGAAGCCTCTAGCCACCCCTGAGCCTCTGGCCTGTACCCCAGTTCTGTATGCATAAATAAATAAATCTTAAAAAAAAAAAAGTAATTGTCTTTAAGTGATGGAGTTAGTCTTCTGGAATCAGAGTTGAACTGAATAAAACAAAATGGTATTGAATCCACAGAAATCAGATAAGTGGGAGAAATGACCCCTAGGTAGTCTTTTTCTTCCAGGATTTTTTTCACCATCTGGAAAGAGGACTAAGAGGAAGAAAAGTATCTTGTTTCAATCATGGCACCCAAATATGCAACCCAAGATAGTATGATAAGGATATATTGTTTTTTAAATTTCACAACCCCTATCCAAAGCTGACTTGATGTTCCATTATGCTTATTTTCAAATATATAGTGTCTGTTCTTTATTAATTATTCTTGGGAAAGATGAAACTATTGCATTATCCTAGGCATATATTTGGGTTGAATGCAAGGGTGGGGTCAGAAAGTACTTAGTCCTATTCAAATAAATGAGGAGTAGAGGAGAAAAGTGTCCACAGTTACTCTTCAAAATAGACCTAGTGAAATACAATTTCAATTTATCAGATACCCTATATGTCCTTCTCCGAAGAACTCTACAGAACACTGCGGTTAAAAAGAAATGTACCAAAGCTGTTCTAGTTACAGTAAATCCTAATTTAACTCCAAGGTTTTTCTCTGCTGGAAGCTTTCTGTCTGTATGCACATCTTTTCC